GGATGTATCGAATTTGCGTAGTGCGCATGCGCATTGCCAACTTTCTTATTTCTTATCCGATTTTCACCAAACTTGGTATGTATGTGTATAATCAAATTCTAAATTTGATGGAATTATCGAATTTGCGTAGTGCGCATGTGCATTGTCAACTTTCTTCTTTATTATCCGAATTTCATCAAACTTGGTATGTATGTGTATAATCAAATTCAAAATTTGATGGAATTATCGAATTTGAGTTGTGCGCATGCACATTACCAACTTTCTTATTTCTTATCTGATTTTCACCAAACTTGGTATGAATGTGTATAATCAAATTCTAAATTTGATGGAATTATCGAATTTGCGTAGTGCGCATGCGCATTGCCAATTTTCTTATCCAATTTTCATCAAACTTGGTATGTATAAATAATCCAATTCTAAATTTGATGGAAATATTGAATTTTTGTTGTGCGCATGCACATTACCAACTTTATTATTTCTGATCCGAATTTCACCAAACTTGGTATGTATGTGTATAATCCAATTCTAAATTTGATGGAAATATAGAATTTGCGTTGTGCGCATGCGCATTACCAACTTTCTTATTTCTTATTCGAATTTAATCAAACTTGGTATGTATGTGTATAATCCAATTATAAATTCGATGAAAATATCGAATTTTTGTTGTGTGCATGCGCATTACCAAATTTCTTATTTCTTTCTGGATTTCATCAAACTTGGTCTTTATTAATTGACAAACATTCTTTTATTCCTAGTCAATATACGTCAATGGGCGTATAAAATTGGTGGATTTCAGTTATTACCAAACGTCACCATTTTTTTATAATCCCAAGCAGTAATCAGAATTCCAAGTGTCGTCTGCTAGAATGTAGTCCAATGAATGAAGTCATGTAATCAACTAGCGGATTCCATGTCAGCAGAAATTTCTATGGAACACAAAGTGGGCCATATTCTTATGTTGTTTCAGTGACTTTTAGCACGAAATCACGCTACGTATCTTATTTTGTCAGTCACTATTTTTTTTAAAGATAGATTGGCAGGCAAGGTAATATACGCCCACTAGCAGCTTTGATTTTGAATAAAAATATTTAGCAGTACAGTAACAATCACCAGTATGAAATATTCAACCTTCAGTCATAGACTTCTTTTGAACTCTTTAGAGCGATACTGAATAATATTGAGTATGAGTTTTGCCCTTGTTCTTGAAAACATGTTCAATTCAATTCATGAAAACTCTAGAAGGCAAATATTCAATCTTCAGCGCGGGACTGAACTCAACAAGTCTTGTCAAAATCCAGCAAGAATCATGCCTTTTAGTGTTTAAGAGCTAAATTTGAAAGCGTTTTCAAGAACAAGGGCAATAACTCATACAAAATATTTTTCAATTCTTCTGATTTTCAATAGGGTTCATCCTTGGGTGAGTACGAACATTCACACCAAGTTTCATCAAAATTCCTCAAGAATTGTGCCTTCTAGAATGATTACGAGCTAAAAATTTAACGCGTTTCAAAAACAAGGGCAATAACTAAATATTTTTCGATTCTTCTGATTTTTAATAGGGTTCATCCTTGGGTAATTACAAACACTCACACCAAGTTTCGTCAAAATCCATCAAGAATTGTGCCTTCTAGAGTGTTTACGAGATTAAAATTGAACGCGTTTTCAAGAACAAGGGCAATAAATCATACTAAATATTTTTCGATTCTTCTGATTTTCAATAGGGTTTATCCTTGGTTGATAAAAAACACTCATGCCAAGTTTCATCAAAATCCATCAAGAATTGTCTCTTCTAGAGTGTTTACGAGCTCAAAATTGAACGCGTTTTCAAGAACAAGGGCAATAACTCATACTAAATATTTTTCGATTCTTCTGATTTTCAATAGGGTTTATCCTTGGTTGATAACAAACAGTTACGCAAAGTTTGATCAAAATCCAACAAGAATTGTACCTTCTAGAGTGTTTACGGGCTCAAAATTGAACGCGTTTTCAAGAACAAGGGCACTAACTCATACTCATCGTTGGGTGATTACAAACACTTATACCAAGTTTTGTCTAAATCCATCCAGAATTGTGTCTTGTAGAGTGTTTACGAGCAATTGTGGACGGACCGACCGATGGACATGGGTGACGCCAATATACACCCCCCATTTCATGTGGGCGTATAAAAATGAGACGAATGCATACAAGATTGCATTATTTTGCAGAATGAGAAAAGGGCTAATGCCTATGTCGTGGAAAATTTATTCCATATACTATGGAAATGCAATTAAAGCAAGTCATTATTCTTTTTCTTTAGTCATTTAAAGCGTATATCGAGAAGCGGCATGTAAACTTCATGTCTAGCGCTTCAGATTAAATATTTTTGCCATATGTAGTGTGATGCCACAGTAACCAAGTAATGAAGAACGATTAGGGCCAACAACGAATGGATGTTTAAAATAGAGATTATCAAAGGGCGCGACAGATGTCGGATATATTCTTAGTGATGCCGATAAACATTTTTAAAATATTGTTCACAACCTTCAAGGACCCGTCTCTTATATCTCATCCGTCGTCTGTTGCAAATATTGCTGGTGGAGCACTGTCTGACAGTCTGTGCCGAAAATTTTATCCATAGCTTTTCATATAACATGGCTTCAAGGTCCATCGCCTGTTGATCAGACCTTTGAATTTCAAAGGGATGAAACGGACGACGGATGAATTCTTGGCGACAGTTGACCCGTCCAGATATGGCATACACAATAATAATCTAGTTCTTCAAAGCAAATCTCACAATGAGATGTAGAATAATTGATACAAAAAGGTGCTAACACAGTTATACCTTTAATTAAATTTAATCTGTTAATAATATACTTCAAAATAATACAAATAAAAATTAAGTATACACTATTTCCAACTAATGAAGATGTTTGTAGAATAATACTTATAAAATATTCAGTTATTGTTTTTCAAATATCTTAACTATAAAACTGGTAAATTTCTTTTGTTCTTTGGCTTGACTATTGGATAAAATTTACATTTTAAGAGTGGAAGGGTGTTCATAGTAATATGGTTTCAGATATGGCTCACATGGAATTGTGGATGTATATTGCCTTCACCCCTGTCCCTCCATCCGTCCTTTCGCAATTCTTGTACACACAAAGGAGTTTTTATTCAATCTGGATGAAACTTAGTATACATGCATGTTTGGTAACAATCAGATGAACGGTTATGGAGTTATTGTCCTTGACTCAGTACAACGTGTCAAATTTGGCTTCTAGATACGATATAGTTATCATTCGATCTTTAGGATCCTGGGTCAAGTTCGAATTTGGTGACAATCGGGTGAGCGGTTTTGGGGTTATTACCCTTGACGCAGTAAAAACGCTTCAATATTGAGGTGATAAAGGCTACAGTTTTTATTTCATCATAATAAAAATTGGCATATATATTATATTGATGGTATTGATTTGGTAACAATCAGAAGAATGGTTTTGGAGTTATTGTCCTTGACTTAGTAAAACGCAGCAGGCTGTGGTTTATATCCAATCTTGAGGGTTACTGACGACGGGCGACAACGATATGTGTTTGAAAAAGAGATTATCGAAGAGCAACAGACGTGGGATAATTGTTAGTGATGTTTAAACATCGGCCAGCAACTAGATTTCGTCGGCTGTCGCCAAATGCTGGTTGAGCACTGCCCAACTGTTTGTCGCGAAAAATTTCATCCGTAGTTTCTTATGGCATAACTTGTATGCAATGGCTCAACTGTAGATGAGTAGGGTTTTGAGTCCCTTTCCCCGACGGTCGACGGGTTGTGCAGCTATGACACACATATACAGGACAATTAAATCCTGGGAAATATTGTTGTGAAATAAAAATCTAAAACTGAATCATTTATGCTTTGTTCTCTGTTGCACAAAGTTTGGCGACGGGTCAGTTATAATATTGTACAGCAGCCTCGATGGGTGACGGATATTATGATAACATTTCTCGATGGGCGACGGGTCTTCAAGCCATAATATGTACGCAGCCAATGAAAAGAAAACGCAAAAGCAAACAAATAAAATCGTAAATGGTTAAACATTCCTAAACCTATATTCTAATCATGAAATAAATATCTACATGAAAGTCTAAAACTGAATCATTTATGTTTTGTTTCTAACCCACGTGTTTTGGCGACGGGTCAGTTATAAAATTGTACAGTAGCCTCGACGGGCGACGGGCCAAAATATGTACGCAGCCAATGAAAAGAAAACGCAAATGCAAACAAATAAAATTGTAAATGGTTAAATTAAATGTTCCAATCATGAAATGAATATCTAAATGAAAATCTAAAACTGAATCATTTATGTTTTGTTTCTAACCCACGAGTTTTGGCGACGGGTCAGTTATAAAATTATACAGTAGCCTCGACGGGCGACAGACATTATAATGATATTCCTCGACGGGCGGCGGGTCGATGGGCCGTGGAGCCATAATATGTACGCAGCCGATGAAAAGAAAACGCAAATGCAAACAAATGAAATTATAAATGGTAAAACTTTCCTAAACCTATTAAATATTCTAATCATGAAATAAATATCTAAATGATAATCTAAATCTGCATCATTTACGCTTTGTTTCTATCTCACAAGTTATAAATTGTACAGTAGCCTCGATGAGCGACGGACATGATATTATTTAGTAGTGGGACTATAATATACACGCAGCCAATGAAAAGAAAACGCAAATACAAACAAATAAGATAGCTTGCCAGGCAAGGTAATATATACGCCCACTGGCAGCTTTGATTTTGAATAAAAATATTTAGCAGTACAGTAACAATCACCAGTATGAAATATTCAACCTTCAGTCATACACTTCTTTTGAACTCTTTTCACTAACTGTTTCAACACTAGTGAGATCAACAGTTAAATTAGAATTAAACCTAACTTTGTTTCATTTTTTATTAGGTTTTAATCTTTATTTAGCGACTTCTTTAGGCTAACTTTAGTATAATTGGGAATATGGAATATTAATCAAAAGTGCATGAAGGGCATATATGGAATAATCTCCATCCAATTAAATAAATCAGAACTTACTGATTGACTAGATTTTGTCTTCTGGTTTAACATACTGTATGGTGATGAGATAAGAATTTTCTTGTGTGTTCTTCGTTCAAAACTGTATCGAGGTCTTTTTTCTCCACGGGTTCTCATTTCACTCGGAGGAGGTAAATGATGGATGTACTTTCTCTTTAAACGCATTGATGCTTTAACAGGTTTTGATAAAGATTTGTGTTTAGATTCTACAGTACTAGTGCTATCAACTGTTTGTGAGTCACTGTCTACACTAGCTTTGTCATCTTCATCATCACCTTCTAAAGAACCAGTTCGTGGAGCTGTTATGGTGATTTTCTTTCTTAGCTTATTATTCCGTTTGTTACCATCAACCATACTAGTTAAGGTACTTGGTGGTCTTCCAACTTTCTTTTTCTTTTTACCATAATAATATGCTAAAAATAAATATGAACATCTTGTCACAAACTTATTTCATATTGGTAATTATAATAATATTTTTGAACTTGAAGCAAAATCAAACTTTGTTAATTGTCCTAAACCAAAATTTGATGACGATTTTAGTCCAAATATTGCAAAAACCAGTGTTTATTTTGTAAATTTTACAGACTACCAAAGAATATGAAATTGAATGCATCACCAAAATGAAGTGTTTTATAATTACAAAATATGCTTTATCGCGCAAGGCCCTTTGCGACTAGTAACATCATCAAAAACTAAGCATCATGAGAATTCAGGAATTACAGACGTCTAATTTAAAGTTGGATATGTGCAAATTGATGCTATCATGCTTATTGTTTAATTAATTGGTGTTTCTAATGAATAAAACAAGTATTCTTGAGTGTTAAGATTGTGTGAGGACGTAGAAAAGCTTGGGGATCAAATTAAATGAAAAGGTTAAAAATAAATTCCTTGTTTACTCACTGACATAAGTAGATTCTGACAATCTTGCCATATTTTCGTATAAAAATTATTAGCTAAACTGTGTTCAAAACAGTTATTTGTAAATTAGAAATAATGTAATTAAATACACTGTGTATTTGGAAAATAAAAACAACATCGTCTTTTTCCCTATTTTGGAAACATAACCATTGAAAATTTTAAATTTGTTGGTTAGTATTTGGCTGTCTTGGTAATGATGAAAAGGCACACATAGAAATACCTCCCTTTTGGAAATTGTGAGACCCAATAATCTTTATTAAGTGACTGCTTGATCATGTGAATGCCTTCGTAATTAACAAGTTAATTATTGATTATTGAGACAAACTGGTATTTTTCCCAATCATTAGAACACCACTACTTTCTATTTATATAAGGATTAGCCGTAAAAATGGAATATATATATATAAATAAATGAAAATAAGGGAATCATAGTTTTCATTTGAATGGTTCTGTAATCATTAAATTCATCTATCCAGAAGTTATTTCTTTCTACTAGTATCCTTATTCAATTTAAATATGATTGACCCAAATTAACTCCTGCAACTTACTGTATTTGGTTTTGGTCAGTTGGGCACAATTTTCTGGACATTGGTCATCTATAAAATATGGACTTATCAAATTTGGACAACATTCCAGTTTGATGCAGATTTGACGACAAAAATCTTCTAGTTGACCATTTACTCTACAAATCTCTACTATAGCTCGATAGCTCTTACCCTTATATCTGGAATTATAGAAGTTATATTATTTTTAGAGTAAAAGCACAAACAGTAAGCAAAATTTACCTATTAACAGTTTTGTTTAAAAGAGATTCCGAGGCAAGACTTACAAATCAAATCCATTTTTTGATATACTACACATACAAACTTGGGGGGACATAACAAACACCAGCTAGAATCAAAGCCATCTCCTTAAGACAATAAATAAACATTGTTCATTTTGGGTTAGAATTTAGCCTATACATGTATACCTCGAAAAAAAGAAATATTTCATCAAAAGTCTAAATCCATCAAGAATTAATGTTACATTACAATGAGAACATAGTCTGGTTTAGGTCACTGGTAAAAATATCACAAAGTGAAGTTTTAGCCAAGTTGGTCACATTCATTGCAACGACAAATACTCACTAAGTATCATCAAGATCAGACAAAGATAGCTTGCCAGGCAAGGTAACATATGCCCACTGGCAGCTGTCAGAAATGAGAAAACAGTCTTTAGTGACTAAAGTATGAATTTTCTCATATTAAAGAAATTTTAATAGGTTGAATTCAATGATATATATATTAACTGCCAGTTATTTATGCTGAGAAATTACACAAAATTTTTAACAATCAATATCAATAAGCCAAATACAACAAATAATTAAATCAAACAGTTGCATAAATCGAGTTGAAAAGTGAACCATGTTTCCACTTAAGTTTTCACATAATTTATTTGTTTGTTTCGAAGTTCATGTTAATTCTAGACACTTTATGAAATATAGAATCGTTTGGAGAAACAACATGTGTTAGTGAAGGCAAGTTTCCGGACGACAAATTTGAAAGGTTTGAATGAAAGACTAACAAGTCAGTTATTCAATTTTAAACGAATAAATTATAACAACAACACGGTGCATTGTCAATGTGCTGTGGATTAGCTAAAAATATCTCTGTTAGGAGTGATATAATCCATGGGTCTTTTAGTCAAATGTCAAGTCAAATCGGCAAGTTAATGACTGCCTGATAGTGACATACAAAAAATTTGACTAACGTTTCTTGGAAAAGGACAAAACTAATTTCAGTACCCAGCTTTTTAACCTATTTAATTCAGCATTTTACAGAGTAATTTATGCTTTTGTTTGTGTTTGTATCATCATTATACAAAATGTTGAGGGGGAAGTTTTGCTTTCTTATATTGTTCCCAAGATAGGGCCTAGACCTAGCATGACAATTTTTGGACAAAAGATGAGCAAAACATCTTTATGATAAGGGAAATAACAATTGACAGTCATTAGTTTTAGAACTAATATTGCGGTATTTGGGCTTTGTACTTAACATTATGATGATTTGCCATTGACTTCTATTACATCTCTAAAGCGGTGATTACACAGAAGGATTTGTCCTTTAGGATAAATCCTATGGATATGACCTAAAGAATAAATCCTCAGGACAAGTTTGTTCACATGGTAGATCCTATAGGTCATCTAGTCACGTGACAACTGAAGCAGAAGTAAAATGGAGGGAGCTTATGAAGTTGGAAGTGATACGGAGGATGAAATAACAATTGTTATTAACGAGAATGACAAAAGGAAAAAACAGAGACAACCTCGTTCTTGCTGGATACGTCCCTGGCTAAGCAGGCGATTACAGTATGGTACATATCATTCGTTGGTGGACAAACTGAAGCAGCAGGACACAAAGGCCTTGAAGAGTTTCTTGCGAATGAACTGGGCTTCCATTAATTTCAAGAGCTACTAGGACTTTTGGACCTTGTTATGAGACGAAATGATACCAAGATGAGAGAATGTATAACATCTGGGGAACGACTGGCATTAACATTTAGATTTTTAGCTACAGGTAAGTTCCCCTGCCAGTAAGCTATTCAAATATTCTGCTATGTTCATATATTATGATTATATAAATTTAATGATACAAACAACTTTATATATAACGAATATAAATAATAACATACAACAAGATTACAAAATAACATAAATAGACGAAGTATTTGAATTCAAAACATATCAAATATATTATAATATATATATATAGTTCTATCCTGTAGGATTTATCCTAAAGTACGAAATCATATGACCTATAGGATAAGTTATTCCCTTCACACGGGAGGATTTAACCTATAGATATAAATCCTCCGGATAAATCCTTCCGTGTTATCCCCGCTTAAGTGGTCCCCTTGTGACTTATAGGTCAAGGGGTCAACAGCTGATCTACTTATTCACTAGTTGATTTGTTCCTGAACCCACCTAAACAATAAAAAATATGTGTCCCTTCCATAGTACTTTAAAGACATGTGAAATGTATTAGATAGAGATATTGTCCCATACAAAACACTTCAAATAGCTTGCTGATAGAATATCGTGCACCTGAAGAATGGAATGTGATACGGCTTACCGAAAAAGAGCCGTTCACATTAATTATAGTAGCCTTATCATCATCATCGTATTCTTTAACTCTAATCCTCTTATAAAATTGAAATAGAAATACCTCGCCCTCGCAAAACTGCAGTGAGCTGATCACCTTTATAATTATTTTGAAGCCCTAAAAAAAGTCACATGATGTCAAAAGAAGTGAAGAACTCTGAAATGATGTATTGTATTTGATTCACATTTCCATGTGGGCTTATTAAAATAATTATGAACAGGTGAAAAAATACCGATGGTTATTGGAATACGCCCACAATTATAATGGCAACCAAGTCGTCCGGGAGGTCGTGTCCACAACACATTCTTAAGATCAAGGGGCAACAACTCATGAAATATATTTTGATTTGTCGGATTTTTGAAATTGGTTTATTACAAACTCTCACATCAAATTTTGTCAGGGAACCAGATCTCTATCATGTTGAAAATAAATGTGGATGGACGGACTCAGACAGAGGAGACAACTATATACCCCCAGAAAAACAGAAGAAAACTATCAAGCCTATCAAGACCACCTCCTTCAAATTTTCGTTTTGAAGAGTCGAAGCATTACTTACTGGAAATTTAAAATCCATGTTCCCATGCTGGAATATTGCCAGTTTGTTCGTATCAGGCACCTAAATATGGAACTTTAATATTCGCGCCTCTTGCCGAGAGTGTGACCTGTTCACCACTCATCTAAATATAACACCGATATCGAACCAATCAAATGACATTATTGTAATATATTACTCCGCCGGTTGACCTTTACAGTTCAGCATGTGGTCAGCTTACTGTAAACAATGCGACTGGCAAAATGAAGTGTTTGATTCATCTTGTAATGAAAGATCCTGGAAAAAATTATTCAATTTTCGGAAACTAGTTGGACAAAAGTTGCATCTTGTGCCAAAGAATGGTTAAATCTGGAAGGCGAGGAAAAAAGATTATGTGAAATGCATAAGGATGTGTTTGCAGGTAAGAAAATGAAAGTAGACATCTCAATTTTCATAGATTTAATGGTAGAACATTGCCTTTTTCTGGCCGCCTGTTGTGTTTTTTTAAAATTTGGAATACTTCTTACGTAATATAATTTGATAGCTCGTATCATTTTGAATAAACGGCCCGAATAATCCGGATACTGATGATTTGAAGGCATGAATTTCATGAGGAAAGGAGATTGGATGGGTAAAACAATATGGCGTCCATTTTTCAGAATGCGAACGACACTCGATGTATTCTTCAGGTCTATACTGATAAAATACTAATAAATTACACATTTTAATTGTAGGAAACGTTGGCGAAGCATCGAAAACGTATGGCTACCATCGAAAGTGTTATAGTCGATTTACAGATAAATCTAAATTGGAAAGGGCTGTTAAAAGGTCTGAACAGTCTGTTCCCACAAAAGTTGATCAAACTCCAACACCAAAAAAGAAACGACTGAGGTCAGCATCAACCATTCACACCCATATTTCTACAAGGCAAGCTGATAAGCCAGGCAATGTACTGCCTCCATTGTGTCTTATATGCAAGAAGAGGGAACATTACATGAGAGTTGGGGGGAAAGTCAACAAAGGCTAAATTAATGAAAGCAGAGACTTTTGATGCAGGTTTGTATTTATACTAAACATTGTCTTGTAAATAGTGCCTATACCTTGGCATACATCATAAATTACAATACTTCAATAGATGTGGAAATTCCTGGATTTAACATAGGAAGCAGCAACAGCAAAACAGGATGAAAGTATTTTAAGACTTAAAACAGATAAAGACTGTGTGACTATTGAGGTGCAATATCACGCTTCTTGTTACAAGCAGTATATTCGGTTTTTGTCAGCATCAAGTACACCTGGGTGAGTTGAGATGTATGAATGGTTTAATATTTTGTTCACTTGCTTCTAATTCCCCCTGCATTTTTTATTGTCAGCTCACATTATTGCTGTTTGTTTAAAAGATAGCTTGCCAGGCAAGGTAATATACGCCCACTGATAGCTTTGTTTGAAATTGAATATTTGTTAGAAAATAGCAAACATAGACACCAGGAAATATTCAACTTATACCCAAATCCATCACAAACTGTGCCATCACAAGTTAAAAATCAAACACATTTGTAAGAATAACGGCAATAACTTGTATTTTTTATTTCAAAAGGTTTAGTTTTGATTGTGATCAACTTCATCAAGTTGTCAAATTTGTTTTAGATTAATTCATATTACATATTTTTCGGTTTCCCTGATTTTTCTATAGGGTTTATCCTTGGGTGAATACAGACACTCATACCAAGTTTCGTCAAAATCTGTCAAGAATTGTGCCTTCTAGAGTGTTTACGAGCTAAAAATTGAACGGTTTGCAAGAACAAGGGCAATAATTCATACTAAATATTTTTCCTATAGTAGCCTACTTATCCAGCAACTCAATTCAATCTTCCAAGAAACAAAACCTTTCCCCTATGACCCATGTTTAATTTCATTTTTGTATCAGCACAATTGGTGAAAATGAAATGATTAAGCAAACCTTTTCTCTTGAATGACATTTATAAAATGAAATCAGATAAACTGCTGCATCTTGGGATGTCACATGACTAAGCTATGATTGGATATCTGTCTTGGATTTTCCACTTGGTCTATTTATAGTATCTTATGATGCTGTACATGTATGGTGGCTGGTTAGGGACATGTTAAATGATTAAATTAAATTTTCTTATTTGTTAACCAAAATAGTTTCTCAGGAAAGTAATGAAATCTATTGTAAATTGTGATTATGAACAAAAAAATTGTGACTTGTAGAGTCTGTCAAGAATTGTGCCTCCTAAAGTGTTTACGAGCTAAAAATTGAACGCGTTTTCAAGAACAAGGGCAATAATTCATACTAAATATTTTTTGATTTCGCTGATTTTCAATAGGGTTTATCCTTGGGTGATAACAAACACTCATACGAAGTTTCTTTAAAATCCTTCAAGAATTGTGCCTTCTAGAGTGTTTATGGGCTAAAAATTGAATACGTTTTCAAGAACAAGGGCAATAATTCATACTAAATATTTTTCTATTTTGCTGATTTTCAATAGGGTTTATCCTTGGGTGATTACGAAAAACTCATACCAAGTTTCGTTAAAATCTTTCAAGAATTGTGTCTTCTAGAGTGTTTACGAGCTAAAAATTGAACGCGTTTTCAAGAACAAGGGCAATAATTCATACTTAATATTTTTCGATTTCGCTGATTTTCAATAGGGTCTATCCTTGGGTGATAATGAACACTCATACCAAGTTTCGTCAAAATCTGTCAAGAATTGTGCCTTCTAGAGTTTACGAGCTAAAAATTGAACGCGTTTGCAAGAACAAGGGCAATAATTCATACTTAATATTTTTCGATTTCGCTGATTTTCAATAGGGTTTATCCTTGGGTGATTACGAACACTCATACCAAGTTTCGTTAAAATCCTTCAAGAATTATGCCTTCTAGAGTGTTTACGAGCTAAAAATTGAACGTGTTTTCAAGAACAAGGGCAATAATTCATACTTAATATTTTTCGATTTCGCTGATTTTCAATAGGGTCTATCCTTGGGTGATAACGAACATTCATACCAAGTTTCGTCAAAATCTGTCAAGAATTGTGCCTTCTAGAGTGTTTACGAGCTAAAAATTGAACGCGTTTGCAAGAACAAGGGCAATAATTCATACTAAATAATTTTCGATTTCGCTGATTTTCAATAGGGTTTATCCTTGGGTGATTACAAACACTCATACCAAGTTTCGTCAAAATCTGTCAAGAATTGTGCCTTCTAGAGTGTTTACGAGCTAAAATTAACAAGGGCAATAATTCATGCTAAATATTTATCGATTTCGCTGATTTTCAATAGGGTTTATCCTTGGGTGATTGCGAACACACATACTAAGTTTCGTTAAAATCCGTCAAGAATTGGGCCCTGTAGAGTGTTTACGAGCAATTGTGGACGGACGGACGAACGGACATGGGTGACGACAATATACGCCCCCCCATTTTATGTGGGCATATAAAAAGAGCTCTGTCTGAATCTTTCCTTGCGTATGTGGTATTCAGTTTGATTCGCATCATGGTTATGAAGAAATACCTTATTTATTGCCATTCTTTACAGGTTAAGTTCAGAAGCTAATGTATACGAGAAAATGTTTGATGCATTTTGTGAAGTTGTCAGAAAACGAATTTTGTATGGGAAAGAAATTCTTAGAATGTCAAGACTGTTAGATATGTTTGTTAAAATGGCTACAGAGTTGGAAGTAGTAGATATTTCAGGTTACAGGTAGGGATGTTATATTTTATTTTTGTAGTGTATCAGTATGAATTTAAATTGTGTAATGCAAGATCTGTTGTGCTGTTTCAGTCTATAGTTTTTCCCAGAAAATTGGTCATCCCTCATTTTTTCCAAAAGGTACTTTTTGGTGCCCAGCACTGGTGAAGTACTTTGTCAAGTTTTCAATTTTCTCACCCCTCAGGGCAGACCATTTTCTCTTAAAAGAAACAGATAAAATTTGTATCTCGAATCAGGACTCTAAGTTTTCTAAGATCCCCATTTTCTATATTTCAGTTCATTTTCTTTGAAGAGAAGATTGAAAGCCAGATTCCCTCAGTTAAAATTTCATTCCTCATCAAAGCTGTTTGAAAGTGAAATGGTTTTCGTTGATGATATGACACATGGTGATATCTTAGAAAAATTACCATCTTCGAGTGACACAGTACATCTACAAGGAATACCAGTTAAGTCGTCGACACGCCAACTCGTCTACAGAATTTTATCGGTCAAGTCGTCGACAGAATTTTATAAGTCAACTTGTATGGTCAGTCTGTCACTAATGTTAATGAAGCTCGGTACAAAATGTTTTGTTTAAGCACAGACTGATTTGTGTTCTTGTGATAACTGTACAAATTGTAAACTCACTGAATCAGATGAAGAGATCTGTCAATTGCGTAAGTTTTTGTTTTACTTGTTATAATTTTTCACATCATTGTTAGCGTTATTTATCACCTAAATATATATTTTTTTGCATTTTTCATCTTGCTTTATATATCCCCAAACCCAGTTTGACTTATTTGCATAATTTGATCCCAACATTTTCAAGCTAGCATATACAGTTTCCTCCTGTTACATCCGCTGTACATTCCCTTCTAACCCAAAGTTATTTTTATTATGCTCCCCAACTACAACAACCACTGGCAAGAAGCCAGAAATAGAAACACTAATCGTCAACCAAACCAATATCAACAGCCCTGTCTTCCATCGACCTCTACCACCTACCAATCGCCGACCACCAACCAACCCATCCAGCTATATCCCACCCCATCGCCGACCTACCTACAACACAGCCTACCAATCAAGAGGTAACCATCGACCTGACCAACAACAGAAACGACTACCAGCCCACAGACGCCAACCAGTCCCCACTCATAAGGAGGAAGAACCCTTTGTGAAGGTGTTCTTCCAAGTTTTGCAGTGCCTCCATCATTTGGCAATCCTTACCCTTCAACAGCAAGGCCAACCAGCGTTTACCTTCAAACGCAAAGTCTCTGAGTTGGATAGATTTATCCGTCCAGCAATGAAAACATCAGCTGTCGACGCGAATATTAGATCCCTCAATCGGACATGGATCTGTAAGGTTACGCAGGTCCTGATTGACCATTACCAAACCACACTTCAAGAGAAGCTGACCACCATTCGTACCAAGTCTTTATCATCACCTGCCGTCGACCGCATCGTTTCTCATGCCCTGTCCTGGGCCCGTCGCTCCTATGGGAAACGTCTCACTCAAGCTGTAATCTCCAAATTCTACCAAACAATCAACGAAACAAAAACCAGAGTAACCATATCTCTACCAACTGAAATGGACACTACACCTGCACCATCTAGAGCCACCACGCTGCCGAACCAAAACCCTAAACGAGCCCGAAGTTCACCTACTCCTAGTCCAGCAGACATAGGTAAACGCTCTCGTAGAGAGGGCACACCCCTTCTCTTTTCACTTTCAGACTCGTCTTCCCCTTCCACACCAGCTGAATCTTCACCACGTGATCCAGGATCCGCCAACCTTTCTTCCTTCTGTGCGTTTTTGGACCAGCAAACCACCCCCCCGTCTCCATCCAAGTCGAGACGTGTATCCAGACCTTCCCCTCCTCGAACCAGATCCCAGTCTGTTCCCAATGCTACAATTCTAACAACTACCAAACCAGTACCAATCACACCGTCGACGACCATTATATCCGCTACCAAACCGTATGATCACCAAACCAAGGACAAATCATTATGGAAACTACCTGCTCTAAAGAAATCTACCTTAATAATTGGATCATCTAACCTGAATCGAATTACCAAAACCAGTTCAGACACCTAAATACATTCTTACCCCAAATCCATCACATACAGTCAATCCTGGAATCATACGACTATGATCCCAAACCTACTACCATTATTCTTAATGTAGGCCTCAACAACCGTGATCAGATACCAATGACCTCCTTAAACCAAGCCCAGAAATTAATCGCCACAGCCAACAAAACCTTCCCAAACTCCAAGATCCTCTTCACATGTATACCCATTTCAAATAAAATCTCGAAGAAAGCAAAACAGAACCTCAGCACTCTCAACAACATGATGATGGAGTCCAGTATCAACAGCGCAACAATCTTACCACCCTACAAAGAAGAATTCGAAACAGTTGATAATCTTCATTGGTCTCCAGAAACAGCAAACAGCATCTATTTGTTTTGGATACACCAGCTTCAAGCATTGAGTAAGTCTTTAAACTAATTACTGGGGATAAAAATACTGAGAGGCCACCGCTAGGCCAAACTGTAGTTAACTTGAGCCGCAAAATTCTCACACCCCTTCAGCATTCAATCTTAGACCGTGGACTTAAGTTTATTCCCACACCAAAGATAGCTAACTTGAATTATCTCCGACCATCCATTGAACGATTTCAACGAAATCTTAGCTGCACATTTTTTTCGAAACCACCCCCCACGTGTTTATTCCTAAATCCATGTGGACACCCCCTCAGGCCGCAATCCATCCTGAAATATTGAAAGCATTTGCGAGTATGAATAGCCAAACAGTGAACCTTTCCATAACACACGAAAAGCCTAATCTCACACGAGTGGAACGTGAAGCGTTAAACTTACTTAAGAAAGACGATAGCATTGTTTTTAAAAAGAGTGACAAAGGTTCATGTTGTGTCATTCTGAATAGGGAGGATTACTTTTCAGAAGCAGAGAATCAACTGAATAATCCTAAATATTATGCCATTTTACCGAAACCAATTTTCAAAGAAACTGCTAACATGATTAATAATATTCTTGCCGATTTAGTCAAAACTAGTTATCTCAAACAGAAACAATATGACTGTCTGTCTGCCAAACCTGATTGTCGCGAGAGACATTTGTACACTTTGCCTAAAATCCATAAGAATCCAACCAAGGAGTGGTTTATCTCGAATAAAATCCCTAAAGGCCGCCCGATTATATCTGACTGTGGTAGTGAGTCATATGCAGTGTCAGAATACATTGATCATTTCTTACTACCTCTAGCATGCCAACATCGCGCCTACCTTAAAGACACAACCGATTTTGTCAATAAAATAAAAAATCTTCGAGTTCCCTCTAATGCTATTTTAATTTCTATCGACGTTTCTTCTATGTATATCAATATCGATAACACTACTGGTTTAACGGCAGTTCGTTAAGCTTTTAATAGAAACCCAGATCCAAACAGACCCGACGATGCAATTCTACAGCTTTTAGAGATTTGTCTTAGTCGAAACGATTTCACATTTAATGGTAAAACATATTTACAAACTTAAGGGACAGCAATGGGCAAACGATTCGCCCCTTCGTACGCAAACCTTTTCATGGCAGAGTGGGAACGTGAGGTGTTGCCCCTCTGTCCATTTGACCCACTTTTTTACGGACGCTTTTTGGATGACATTTTTATGGTTTGGACTTATTCTATCGAACAGTTTTGTGAATTCTTTGAAATTCTCAACAACCACCATCCTTCTATCAAACTAACCGCAAACGTGAGTGACAAAAGCATAGACTTTCTCTTTAAGGGAGATTCCATAGCAGAAACAAATAAACTGGATATTAAAGTGTATTTCAAAGAAACTGATACTCATCAACTCTTGCACAAGAGCTCCTTTCACCCAAAACATACCTTTTCTGGTATAATTAAGTCACAAGTTTTACAATTTCATCCAATTTGTACAAGATCTTCTGATTTCAACCAAGCCTGTACGATTGTTTTTCTCAAAACTGAAAGAGCGTGGGTAAAAAATTAAAAATTCCACCTTAGCACAGATAGCAGCTAAAAACAGACTTTATGCCGAAGTACCTCCAGGTTTAAGAAGTGCTCCATGTTTGTCCAGTAGATGCAATACATGTCCCTTTATATCAGAAACTCATTATTTTGTAAGCAACTCTACGAACAAAAGGTACCCGATCCAGGAACATCTAACATGTGAACATTCGAATATAATATATTTAATTTCATGCAAGAAATGCCCCAAACAATATGTAGGAGAAACTAAGAATAATTTACTAACTCGCTTTAATGCTCATAGGTCAGACATCAAATTAAAGAAAGACAAGCCTGTTTCTAATCATTTCAACCTCGACGACCATTCAATAGACGATCTCGCCCTAATCCCAATTGAGCGTATAGAAATTGACTTGCCCGAAGATGAAACTACCAAATTCCGTCAATCTAGGGAGGCCCATTGGATTGAGACATTGAATACAGCAAGACCTATAGGACTAAATATTCATCATAATGTAGGCATAGCACCCTTTGTTGTCCCGTTTAATACAACGAGCAAGCAAGATAGTTCATGCCCACTATAAGAGCCTTCAAGAGAAATTCCCCCATGTCTATAAGCAGAAAATGATAGTTGCATATTCAAAAAATAAGAACTTAAATGATAATATTGTTCATAGTAAACTTAAAACAATCAGTACATAACAGATACTATACTTCTCGCCCATCGGGCGAGTTATTTTTTCTAATTTCAGATCAGAATAAGAACAGAAGAAAACCCAATATCAAGACCCTTAATCCTAATTTCTAAATAAAGTGTCTGCTCCACCCTAGGCCTGTACATTTGGGAGAATCAAACCCTCCCTTCCCCGAAATCTAATACTGTCCTTGCCAGGCCAGATCAGACAATTTATTTTGACTTTGGTATATTTTATTTCATCTTATATATATTTATATATCTTATTTTTTTTGTATATATTGTATATGTTAGGATTTTGACATTTGTTTCTCGTGCATATAACAAACATTCTTCAACAAAATTTGCATTAATCTTTTAATCTAACCAAGTAAATTTAATTGCCATTATTTATGTTTTTCTTTCATGTAAATTATACTCCGAGATAATCCATCCATTTAAATTACTACTCGGGTATAATCAAAATTCAAAGTTAGTTCTAATCAATTTACAATTCACTAATCCCGCTTATTTTATCATATATTTCTCATGTTTATTTATTTTATATTTTTGTATTCTTGATTTCTGATTATTTATGTTTTTCATTTATGTAAATTGTACTCTGAGATAATCTAATCCTCCTGAATTATTACTCAGATATAATCAAAGTCTAATCCAATATTTCTATAATCCTCAATTGATCAAAGATATGACTCAACTAATTAAGAAATCAAAAATAATCCTAATCCTCAACTGATCAAAGATATGACATGATTCACTCAATAATTTTTAGAAAATCAAAAACCTGTATTAACTAACTACTATATAAATCGCAAATTCAATCTCATTTCATAACCATTCCTTGACACTTGAAAAAGGATAATATTTCGAAAACCGGTTCGTGACGACCATTATATCCGCTACCAAACCGTATTATCACCAAACCAAGGACAAATCATTATGGAAACTACCTGCTCTAAAGAAATCTACCTTAATAATTGGATCATCTAACCTGAATCGAATTACCAAAACCAGTTCAGACACCGAAATACATTCTTACCCCGGTGCCCAAATCCATCACATACAGTCAATCCTGGAATCATACGACCATGATCCCAAACCTACTACCATTATTCTTCATGTAGGCCTTAACAACCGTGATCAGATACCAAAGACCTCCTTTAACCAAGCCCAGAAATTAATCGCCACAGCCAACAAAACCTTCCCAAACTCCAAGATCCTCTTCACATGTATACCCATTTCAAATAAAATCTCGAAGAAAGCACAACAGAACCTCAGCACTCTCAACAAGATGATGATGGAGTCCAGTATCAACAGCGCAACAATCTTACCACCCTATGAAGAAGAATTCGAAACAGTTGATAATCTTCATTGGTCTCCAGAAACAGCAAACAGCATCTATTTGTTTTGGATACACCAGCTTCAAGCATTGAGTAAGTCTTTAAACTAATTACTGGGGATAAAAATACTGAGAGGCCACCGCTAGGCCAAACTGTAGTTAACTTGAGCCGCAAAATTCTCACACCCCTTCAGCATTCAATCTTAGACCGTGGACTTAAGTTTATTCCCACACCAAAGATAGCTAACTTGAATTATCTCCGACCATCCATTGAACGATTTCAACGAAATCTTAGCTGCACATATTTTTTTCGAAACCACCCCCCATGTGGTGCTAGAACAATGTTTATTCCTAAATCCACGTGGACACCCCCACAGGCCGCCATCCATCCTGAAATATTGAAAGCATTTGCGAGTATGAATAGCCAAACAGTGAACCTTTCCATAACACACGAATTGCCTAATCTCACACGAGTGGAACGTGAAGCGTTAAACTTACTTAAGAAAGACAATAGCATTGTTATTAAAAAGAGTGACAAAGGTTCATGTTGTGTCATTCTGAATAGGGAGGATTACGTTTCAGAAGCAGAGAATCAACTGAATAATCCTAAACATTATGCCATTTTACCGAAACCAATTTTCAAAGAAACTGCTAACATGATTAATAATATTCTTGCCGATTTAGTCAAAACTAGTTATCTCAAACAGAAACAATATGACTATCTGTCTGCCAAACCTGATTGTCGCGAGAGACTTTTGTACACTTTGCCTAAAATCCATAAGAATCCAACCAAGGAGTGGTTTATCTCGAATAAAATCCCTAAAGGCCGCCCGATTATATCTGACTGTGGGAGTCATATGCAGTGTCAGAATACATTGATCATTTCTTACTACCTCTAGCATGCCAACATCGCGCCTACCTTAAAGACACAACCGATTTTGTCAATAAAATAAAAAATCTTCGAGTTCCCTCTAATGCTATTTTAATTTCTATCGACGTTTCTTCTATGTATACCAATATAGATAACACTACTGGTTTAACGGCAGTTCGTAAAGCTTTTAATAGAAACCCAGATCCAAACAGACCCTACGATGCAATTCTACAGCTTTTAGAGATTTGTCTTAGTCGAAACGATTTCAAATTTAATGGTAAAACATATTTACAAACTTCAGGGACAGCAATGGGCAAACGATTCGCCCCTTCGTACGCAAACCTTTTCATGGCAGAGTGGGAACGTGAGGTGTTGCCCCTCTGTCCATTTGACCCACTTTTTTACGGACGCTTTTTGGATGACATTTTTATGGTTTGGACTTATTCTATCGAACAGTTTTTGGAATTCTTTGAAATTCTCAACAACCACCATCCTTCTATCAAACTAACCGCAAACGTGAGTGACAAAAGCATAGACTTTCTCGATACCACAGTCTTTAAGGGAGATTCCATAGCAGAAACGAATAAACTGGATATTAAAGAGTATTTCAAAGAAACTGATACTCATCAACTCTTGCACAAGAGCTCCTTTCACCCAAAACATACCTTTTCTGGTATAATTAAGTCACAAGTTTTACGATTTCATCGAATTTGTACAAGATCTTCTGATTTCAACCAAGTCTGTACGATTGTTTTCTCAAAACTGAAAGAGCGTGGGTACTCTAAACGATTTTTACGAAACATAAAAAATTCCACCTTAGCACAGATAGCAGCTAAAAACAGACTTTATGTCGAAGTGCCTCCAGGTTTAAGAAGTGGTCCATGTTTGTCCAGTAGATGCAAAACATGTCCCTTTATATCAGAAACTCATTATTTTGTAAGCAACTCTACGAATAAAAGGTACCCGATCCAGGAACATCTAACATGTGAACATTCGAATATAATATATTTAATTTCATGCAAGAAATGCCCCAAACAATATGTAGGAGAAACTAAGAATAATTTACTAACTCGCTTTAATGCTCATAGGTCAGACATCAAATTAAAGAAAGACAAGCCTGTTTCTAATCATTTCAACCTCGACGACCATTCAATAGACGATCTCACCCTAATCCCAATTGAGCGTATAGAAATTGACTTGCCCGAAGATGAAACTACCAAATTCCGTCAATCTAGGGAGGCCCATTGGATTGAGACATTGAATACAGCAAGAACTATAGGACTAAATATTCATCATAATGTGGGCATAGCACCCTTTGTTGTCCCGTTTAATACAACCAGCAATCGAGCAAGCAAGATAGTTCATGCCCTTCAAGCCTTCAAGAGAAATTACCCCATGTCTATAAGCAGAAAATGATAGTTGCATATTCAAAAAATAAGAACTTAAATGATAATATTGTTCATAGTAAACTAAAAACAATCAGTACATAACAGATACTATACTTCTCGCCCATTGGGCGAGTTATTTTTTCTAATTTCAGATCAGAATAAGAACAGAAGAAAACCCAATATCAAGACCCTTAATCCTAATTTCTAAATAAAGTGTCTGCTCCACCCTAGGCCTGTACATTTGGGAGAATCAAACCCTCCCTTCCCCGAAATAAAAAAAAACTTTCATCAAAAACTCGTCAAATTTCATCAATATACATTATCACATCAAATTTCATTAAAATCAGTTTAAAGCTGTAGTCTCTAATGTGTTCACAAGAAATGTTGACAGACCGACGGCAAAATACGTCCACATTTCCATGTGCGCGTATAAAAACTAAGATTCAACAAGTCAAGGCCAACTCAAAAAATGCTCATCCATATCTAACTATTACATGTTTAGAACTCAAATCTCATTAATCAGCACATGTGTATCACGTTTCATCAAGATAATGAGACTTCTATCAGTCTACAGAGCACATTTGAGGCATCTAATAATAAGCAACTTTGAACTTGACCATCACTCATTAATATACACATGCATACCAAGTTTAGTTTCTACAAGCCCGGTTTGACACCCCTGAGGTCATTAAGATTAGCATATAAATTATCCATACTTACTTGGCTTTTAAATGCTGTTGATGCATGGATGGATTAGATGGTCCATCAAGTTGAAGTTCCCTCAAAACACGGCATGACTTATAAGCAACATTGATAAGCATTGATAAGACTTCTTTCATAACCAACACTATTGGACCAGGGCCAACACATCTTGGAAGTTCAGCAATTCGGAATTTACTCAAATAGGGTCCAGAAAAACATTTATGATTGAAGTAGATTTTAGGACACCATGTTTCACCTGTCAAAAGATAAAGACATAAGAAGTCTTAGACATTTTCATTTTATCAGTATCAAATTTTAATTGCATCTTTCAAACCGTTCACAAGCTGAAAATTGAATGCGTTTTAAAGAATAATGGTCATAACTAATGATGGGTCGATTGTCCCAAATAATTGGTTGTCGATTGATTATGTCCTACCGATTGCAACAATCGATTAAGAACATGAAAAATCGATCATGGGTAAAGTCATTTTCACATCTTTCAAAGCTATTTTCACACAAACGCACCTCAATGGAGGCCACTCTACTGACTAGTCGCAGACTGGTATAACAGAAGGCATAAAACACAATGGAAAAGTTAAAAGATAGCTTGCCAGGCAAAGTAACATACGCCCACTGGCAGCTGTAGGAAATGATAAAACAGTATTTAGTGACTAAAGTATGATTTGTCTCATGGTCAAAGAAATTTTAATAGTTTGAATTCAATGATATATATATTTACTGCCAGTTATTTATGCTGAGTAATTCCACCAAGTTTTTAAATATAAACATCAAGTCAGACACGATATTTCGGTAAAAAATTATCTGATCATCACGAAAATCACGAAAGGACAATATACGACCACATTATAATGTGATTTATTGATTTATTTCATAGAAGCATTCTATAAATAGCATTACATCCAGCCATGTGTTAGTGGGCGACGTTTCAGTACAGTAGTAAAGTACAGTTGGTGAAAATATTATCCCTTTTGAAATTGTGGGTACATCCAATATCATTAGTAAAATTTCTCAAACTATCCAGTTTGTCTTGGAAAGATAAAAATTTTACATGCCTTTCATCTTTAATTACTATTACAAACCACAAGGTTACCAGGGGTGTTATGAGTTGACAAAGGTCAAATGAAAGAGATAAATGCCTTAAAAGTTTTGATAATTGCTGTTTTCGAACGTCTGTAAAAGCGGAAGTATATGTTGGACATCAAAGATCAAAGAATGAATGATCTTGAATTGATCTTAGATCAATGGCCTTTCACTCGGAGATTAAATATAATAGTATCAACCAATAGTCAAGGTCAATGACCTTTAATTCTGTAAAGGTCAATGTGACCCAAGGTCAAGGTCACCAGATATGAGCTTCAAACTTCGAAAAATTTCAACCGGAAATTCGAAAAAGCAAAAGCAAAATTCAAAAATGGGCTTCCCAGATTTTTCTTATATTTTTCATTTGACACCAAAAATCATCAAAATCGGATGAGCCATTATCTCTGAATAAAATTTTGACGTATTTCAAGAAAATGCAAATGGTGGCCAAAACAGTTAATACAGGAAGTGGGTCAATCAGAAAATTGCACATCGATTTCGTGAAAACCTGACGTGAAAATCGAAAATTTAGTCAAAATTTATAAAATTCGACTCAAAAATGTATGCTACAAAGTTTCAAAATTGGAAACTTTTTAACTGCACACCTATTGGATATTCTTGCAAGATCCAAAAATTGAAACCCCGAGAAAATTTAAATACTATAAAATTATCATTTTCATCATCTAATAATTAACCGATTATTAATCGGTTAGTCGATCGTTAAGGTCAAACCGATGTCAACTGATAATCGATTATAACTCATTTTAGTTATTTTTCTATTTTAGATACAGTTCATTCTTGGATAATAAACAATATCACAAAGTTTCATCAAAAAAAACAAGTGTTAGTGAGCCTTAGCCCACTTTTTTAATAAATTTTCAGTATATCAAGAGTGTTATCAATATACAAAATCTTACAATAAAACTTACTTGTGTAAGATAAACAAAGATAGCTTGCCAGGCAAAGGTAACATACGCCCACTACCAGCTGTCAGATATGATAACTAAGTCTTATGTGGCTTTATAATGAATTTTCAAATGATTTTATATGTTTTTTAAATCCTCAAAGATAGCTTGCCAGGCAAGGTAATATACGCCCATTGGCAGCTTTGATTTTGAACATAAATATTTAGCAGTACAGTAACAATCACCAGTATGAAATATTCAACCTTCAGTCATACACTTCTTTTGAACTCCACTTCTTTTGAACTCTTTAGGGCGATACTGAATAATATTAAGTATGAGTTATTGCCCTAGTTCTTGAAAACGTGTTCAATCTTTAGCTTGTGAAAACTCTAGAAGATAAATATTCAATTTTCAGCGCGGTAAAGAATAATAAAACCAAATTTTGTCAAAATTCTGCAAGAATTTTCAATAGGTTTTATCTATGGGTGATAACAAACACTCAAGCCAAATTTCGTTAAAATCTGTCAAGAATTGTGCTTTCAAGAGTGTTTACAAGCTAAAACTTGAACGTGTTTTCAAGAATAAGGGCAATAACTCATACTCAATATTTTTAGATTCTTCTGATTTCAATAGGGTTCATCCTTGGGTGATAACCAACACTCAAGCTAAATTTTGTTCAAATCCGTCATGAATTGTGCCTTCTAGAGTGTTTACGAACTAAAAATTGAACACGTTTTCAAGAACAAGGGAAATAACTCATACTAAATATTTTTCTGATTTTCGATAGGGTTTATCCTTGGGCGATAATGAACACTCATACCAAGTTTCATCAAAATCCGTCATGAATTGCACCTTTTAGAGTGTTTACGAGCGTTTCAAGAACAAGGGCAATAACTCATATTAAATATTTTTCGATTCGTCTGATTTTTAAAAGGGTTCATCCTTGGGTGATTACAAACAACCATACCAAGTTTCGTCGAAATCAGTCAAGAATTGTGCCTTGTAGAGTGTTTACGAGCAATTGTGGACGGACGAACCGACAGACCGACAGACCGACGGAAAGAGGTGACTGCAATATACGCCCCCCATTTCATGTGATAAATAATAAAACTTGACATCAAATACCATCTTTTAATACCCAGCGTTTCGTCTAAAACGTTTTGACTTCATCAGGGGAAGAAACAAACTACAAATGGTGGAAGGTAGTTAAGATTAAAATTACAATATGACCTCATAAGGTTTATGACGTCACAATCTTAGAAACCACATAACAAGAGAAGGGTCAAGTCACAAAATGGTGAGAGGCAATTTGATTCTTGAAAACATGACCTCAGAAGATTTATGACATCAAAATCTTAGATACAACATAACAAGTATGTAATGATGACTTCAGGATTTGCCAAAAAATCTAAACAGGAAGGGAAAAAAGGGGGGCGTTCAAATTAGCTCTTTAAACACTAAAAGACATGATTCTTGCTGGATTTTTGACAAAACTTGATTTATTATACATACGCACACATACATACTGAAGGTTGAATATTTGCCTCCTAGAGTTTAACAAGCTAAAGTAGTACTAGACCTTTCAATATGTTCGCAAGGGGATTCCCCATTCCATTTCATTCCATGGGGAAAGTGTGAACATATTGAAAGGTCCTAAAAAAGACCTAAACACCCTACATTTCATAAATTCTTACACCAAAAAACACCTTAACACCCTACATTTCATAAATTCTTACACCAAATACACCTTCAATCAACCCCCACCCCAAAAAAGGACCTATTCACCCTACATTTCATTAAATTAAACGAAAAAAGAATATCAAAAATACCCTTATATAAAATAACTTCCTTGTTTCTCTTAATAGCCTCGTTTTAAATAATGTTATTTTTTGTCCAGAAACTTCTAGAAGGAACATAACTCTTGTTTTGGAAAAAAAAACAGACCACAATTTCTTCATTTAATTAACTCATTTAAAAATAGAATGAGTTTAATTCTAAAACACGAACAACAAGATTATTCGGGCAACAGTATCTTTTCATCAATATTTTCTCTAGGTTCAAAAATAATTCCAAAAGTAGCTACCTTTGTTTCAAAAAACAAATCACTTATTTCATCCGAGACTAAAGTCCTCGGCTCAATCCCGGAAGCGGGAAAGAGTATAAGCGACGCAGAGAAACAATCTGACTAGTTGAAAGAATTACAACTAATAAGAGATCTGCGAAACAGGAGATTAGAAGAAAGGAAAGGAAAAGGTTTTAAAGTCATAGGATAAAAATGATTGTCGCTCACACTCCAAAAACTTATTTTGGTTCAGGAGATATACAAAAATCATTGGGTTCTGTTCCTGGATTTCCATGGGCGAAATATCCTGGAGAAAAACATCTTCCCGGTCATAATTACACTGGTCCAGGTACCAGGTTAGATCTGCGATTAGACGAAAACGATAAACCCAAACCCGGTGAAGAACCAGTCAATAGAGTTGACGCCGCTGCGCTAAAACACGACATACTATACAGAAACAAAGACAAAAACTTCAGACACGAAGCAAACAGACAAATGATAATCGAACTTGAAAATATTCCAAATCAAACATTCAAAATTGGGAATGGTATTGGCAGATGAAATTCATAAAGAATTTAGAAAAACTAAAAATCTTTTTAAAAGTTAAAGTATTTGAAAAAGATTAAATATGGTCAGCCGATTTAATTAATATGCCAGTTGAAAGAGGATATAAATATTGCTTAACAGTTATAGATTTGTATACGAGATATGCTTGGGTTATTCCTTTGAATAACAAAAGAGGATTATCAGTCGAACATGCTTTTGAAACGATTATGAAACAATCTAGCCGACATCCAGAAAAACTGTGGGTAGATAAAGGAAGTGAATTTTATAACAAAAATATGAAATCTCTGGGATTTGAAATTTACAGTACACATAATGAAGGTAAAGCTGTAGTTATTGAGATATATAATAGAACTCTAAAAAATAATTTATTCAAAAAGTTCACGGAATTGAAATCTCAAAAATGGCTTAAAATATTACCAGAGGTTGTAGATGAATACAATAACAAAATTCATTCATCTATAGGTGTCACACCAACACAAGCCACGAATAATCCAAATAGTATAAAGTCAATTAACGCACAACATAACTACGAAAATGAAATAAATAATTTAGATATTACACCAAATTTAAAGTTGGAGATCGAGTTCGTATTTTCAAATATAAAAGTAAATTCGAAAAAGGTTATGTTGGATACTGGACAAACGAAATATTCATCGTTGATAAAGTAAACAGCACATCACCTCCGACATATGAATTAATCGATCAAGACAAAGAACAAATCATAGGAATGTTTTATCAAAATGAACTTCAAAAAACTGACTTTTAAAAAATGAATGAATTTCTCGAAAAACAACGAGTTTGGATGATGAAGAATTTGATAGAAGATTAAGATAATTTAGATGTAGACAAGCATGTACGCTTTCTTAAATTTAAATGCAAATTTATGTTCAAAATATTATTGAATGTGTTTTTATCAGAATGTAATACAATTTTTTTCAAACACAAACTACGTATATATTTCGTCAATTGGGTTTTCAACAATACTTACCGCATACTCCGAAAACATAACTCCTCAAAAAACCGACTTTTAAAAATGAATATCTCTCTCGATAAATATGGAACCGATACAACCACAAACTTTCAACTTATGAGATGGGAGAATGAGTTAAATATATCACCGTTTTATTATTGTATGAGAGATGAAATAAATGATCTCAAATATAAGAAAGGTAAATTTTATGTTATAACAAATATACATACTTCCGATCAAAAATGAGTTCATCATTCTGCTTTATACAAAAACCCTTCAAATAACTTATATTTCTTCGATTCTTTTGGATTAGAACCAACTGAAGAGATAATGCAATTGACTAATAAACCAATCAAATGTTCTTCCTTTCAAATTCAATTACCGGGACAAAAGTTTTGTGGACAGCTTTCACTTTGGGTTTTATATCAGATGAGCTTAGGAAAACAATTTGAAGAAATTATAATAAATTTACTTAATGAAAATGGCAAACAAGTTTGGATTGGGTTCTTTATCTTTAGAAACTAAAAAAACCTAACACTACAGCATGGATAAATAATGTGAAACCTTACTTTGTGGATCAAATCGGAGACACTCTTCAAGGTGATTTAGATACGAACAATTTCAAAGTAACTAATTTAAAATCTCTGGAAAATGATAATCACGCTGTTCACAAGAAATATTTACGGGAACAAATAAATTCAATTGAAGTAAATAAAAACCATTTAGAAGAAAAAAAAAGTAATGTGAAAAGATTCTTCAAACGTCAAGTAAATAATAAAAATTTTGTTAATGAAACTAAACTACAACAAGAGGTGGCAGGTTTAATAAGTTTTATTCAAAAACAATTAGTCAACGTAGTCAAAACTAAGTTACAAAATTTAATTTCATTAATATCTAAATTAGATGATAAGATTGCAAAACAAAAATTAGACATTCAACAATTAATAGATAACATTCCAGATGAAAATGAAGATATGTTTCAACAGGAATTAAATGCTCTGGAAACTAAACTTAACGATGAAAAAAATTCTAATTGAAATTATTTTTCCTATACAGGTAAAAAGTTGATTCAATATTCTTCAGACAAAACTTACGATCCACACTTGTGGATTAATGCTTCCAATAACTGTCCCAACTGTATTAGCCGCGTTCACTGCCGTTCAAACTTCATCTTGTGGATTGATTACTTTAGGTTTTACATCAAAACAGAAATCTCATTATAAAAAGAAAACAGAAATTTTAAATACATATCTTAATAAATTATTCATATTTTTCGAAAGATCAAGAGAAGATAAGAACATAACCATTGAAGAATTAGAAGAATTCAATGAAATTTTCGATAAATTTAATGTAGAAATATCATCAATAAAAGTGAAAAAATAGATACTTAAAAAATATGAAAAAAATTGAAATTTTAGACGATGAAACATTCATATCAAATGTTCTTTTTTCCAATGTTATTAACATTATTTCTGATAAATTTATAACATTTAAAGGACAAATTGAATTAGATGGAGAGATAATTCAAGATGGAGGACACAAACTAAACATGCAATTTGTAGGCTTTAATGCCAAAACTTTTCACAATTTCTTCGCAACAGTGGATGTAAATTCGGATGCTTCTGATTGGTACTTCTCAGGAAAAATCATTTTACGTAAAAACAATTTCAAAGAAATAAAAAGATCAAAAAAGGGTCATGGTACCACCCTACTCGAAAAGAAAAATGAATATGCCGGTATAAATTGTTTTATACCAAGTGATGGATACTGCTTTATAAAGTGCGTAAGTCGTGTTTTGAACAAAGACTACACAAAAGAATTTCAAGATTTCATCAACAGTTTTTCAAAATCAAATAGAAAAGGAGTTATGACAACTGCTAGAATCTGTGAATGACAACTGCTAGAATCTGTGAATGACAACTGCTAGAATCTGTGAATTCAATAAGAAATTTAATGCTTATTTTCAAATTTATACGCCCAAACATAGATATTTTCAACCAAAGAAAGTATCCGAGGAATTAGATTGGGTATTTTACTTACATAAATCACATTTCTGTCTCATTAGAAGAAATAACAAAACCTTAGGCATTAAAGAAATAGAAGATAATTACAATGAAAACGTAGAACTTGTAGAGATGATAATGCGGTAACACAAGTTTCACCTCTAAAACTAAATGTTTTTCCAACAATTCACGATGATTGCATGGGATCGCGAAACCTATAGCGAAAAAGAAACGAATAAAGCCATTCCTTATTCTTGCACGTTAATTTATGTAAAAAACTAAGAAAAATGTTAGACTGAATAAAACATAACTTTCCACATTTAAATCCCACTGATTGCAACGTTTAGGAAAAATTGATCAAAAAAGATTAACATTAATTTCTCATAACGGTAGCGGTTTTGATAACTGGATCGTGCTTAAAAATGCGAATAAACTAACGCAATGTCCACTAGTAACAGCTAGAGGCATTCTGTCTCTACCTTTATCTAATTCATTCACCGATGAATATTTACAGAAAAAATGGAAAAGACAAAAACAAATAATGGGCAACTCTAATTATTTGCATATGTTCCTATCAACATGAAAAATCTAGTTTGGCGGCATGGGGAAATTCATCTAATCTACCGATGAATTTGAGAAAAATCACTGATATAAATATTGCAAAATACACCGAAGATAATTGGGAATCTTTCATACACGAATGGGAACCTTACGCTAAAAGAGATACGTTATGTCTTGGAGGTTGTTTGATAAAATATAACCAAGTTATGAAAGAAGTTGTAATCCAGAATATTTCCAATAATCTAACGGCTCCTTCTTTATCTTTAAAGGGTTGGTATTATTTGTATCATTACGATAAAGAAATGGTTGAAGAAGAATGGCATGAAACTACTAGAATGGTTCCGAAACACACCGAAAAAAAAAACCTAGAAAAAGTATACTCACATACACATCCTTTTATATTATAAGATATTTTATCAGACAATCCATTAAAGTAGGAAGAGTTTCGGCAAAATCGAAAATCATTTGAAATGAAAAAAATGGATGAAATTTGTATTGTATTAAAGGAGTTCAGTGAAACACGAAGTGATAATATAATTGATTTATTTAAAGAATATAGTAAATAAGATAAATCGAAAGTTAATTCAAAACTTAAAAATTAAAATAAAATGTACTAAACTATTGGCCTTTGATGCTAACGGTTTGTACGCTTCCGCCATGTCGGATTTAGACAGCGAATATCCTAAAGCGGAAAGTGGTAGACCGTTTCTACCAGAAGAAAATAAAGAATTTGTTAAGCTCTTTAATGAACAGTAATTCAGACCTAGAACGGCTATTTTAAAAGTCTGGTTTGAACATCCTACCAACATGTTCTTCCAACTCATACCAGCTAAAGATAAAATTACTTTTACGAACAAACAAGGTAATAAGGAAACTGGCAATAAAATCAGGTTCAGAAATGGTTTCTGTTCAGAAGTTTTAACATCGGTTGATATTCAAGAAATAGTTAAAGCCGGTGGACGAATTATTAGAATATTAGATGGTATAGTATACGAAGAAATATAGAGATTATATTTTAATTTTGAGCGATTTAAGAAATAAATATAAACGAGAAGGTAATATCGTAGGTAGTAATTGTATGAAATTATTAGGTAATTCATTGTATGTTAAATCTATTAAGAAGGATATAACTATATCGAGACATCTATGGAGTGAAGCAACTTTAAAAGCCAACTTCGATTCACACGTTAAAAGCTATCCTAAAGTAAATGAGACTCAATATATCGTTGATATAAATGAAGAAGAAAAAGAATTTGACTGTATACCTCCTAAATCTACACAAATAACACCTAATCATTTGGGGTCATTCGTATTATCTCACAGTAAAAAAAATAATGAATAATTTTATTCACGTAATAGATGGATTTTATAAGCCGGAAATATACTATACAGATACTGATAGTTTATACATTTCGTCTAGCAATTGGGATAAATTAAATGAAGCTGGGTTGGTGTCCGAAAATGATTATTGTAAAGGAAAGGATGATTACGGTGATGGTGGAATTATATATGGTTTATATTTAGCGCCAAAAGTTAAATATAATATTATTCTAACTTCCGACGGTATTCTAAAAGAAAAGAAAACGTTTCAGGGTTACTCTAATGATAAGATAGCTGTCGAAGATTACATTCAGTTAGCTAGTCGACATTGATAACTTACATGGACATGCTAAGTTGATGTAGTCTGGCTTTAGTTAACTATTTAACTGAGTTACTTACCTTAGAGGAACAAGGGGGAACTGCATGACCTACTTTTTGTAAAGCATGGCTGACAGATAGTCAGTATCTTATTTATGTTAACAATATACTAATATAGTTATATGTAGACATTGTGTCTTTATTGAATTTGGAACCCACAAGTGTGAGCAAACTATTAATTAACAGTGGTTTAAACTTAAAGTAATCAGAACTGTTAATAAGAAGCAATGGCTCACTCAAATAGTGTGAATTATAGAAACCCACCAGTCTTGGCACCCGATGGTAATTATGAGTCTTGGAAGTCTGAAATTGAAATATGGACATTGGTCACAGACTTACCAAAGAAGAAACATGCATTGGCAGTTAGTGTGGCTTTAAAGGGACAGGCAAAGGAAAGAGCTTTAGCAATGGATATTGAACAATTGAGTGATGAGGAACATGGAATGAGAAACTTGATAAGTGAGTTGGATAAATTGTTTAAAACAGATGCTGTGGATTTAGCTTATTCAAAGTTTGACAATTGGAAAAGAGAACAGGACACATCTATGGTGGATTTTATAATTGACTTCGAACAAAAATATGCCAAATGTGTCAAATACAATATGGATTTGCCGGACACAATATTAGCATTTAAAATCTTAGATTATGCTAATTTGAGTGAACAAGAAAAACAATTGGCATTGACTGCAGCATCAGACTTAAGGTATGACACAATGAAATCAGCTTTGAAGAGAATTTTCACCAAATTACCAGAAACAAATGATAAAGACTCTTCTGTAACATTGAAGGAAGAAAATGCTTTGTATACGAGAAACAAACCATGGCGGAAAACTTACCTCAAAAATCAGAAACAAAACGAAAGAGATGATAAGACTCTTAAAGGTACAAATCCACTTGATAAGTATGGAAGGAGGTCTAAGTGTTTAGTATGTCAATCCATCTTTCATTGGGCTAAAGACTGCCCTGATAAAGAATCTGTTAACTGTACTAAACTGGATCAAAACTGTCAATTTATTGATAATGCCAGGCCAGATGAGATTATGACTGTTGAATGTAGTGGGTGTGCAGTTTTAGACACTGCCTGCTCTAAGACAGTCTGTGGAAAAAAATGGTTTGATGATTTTGTATCACTACTGACTGATGAAGAAAGATCAAAAATAGTAACCAAATCAAGTTCTAAAACTTTTAAGTTTGGAGATGGAGCTAGAGTTCAATCGGAGCAAAATGTTGTTATTCCTGCAAAAATTGCTGGTATAGAATATCAGATATCTAGTTGTTGATGCAGATATCCCTCTACTATTGAGTAAATCAACCATGAAAGAAACAAAAACTCAGCTAGATGTATCAAAAGATGAAGCAAAGATGTTTGGTAAACCGGTTGATTTAAATCTGACATCATGTGGACATTATTGTATTTCACTAATCGATAGTTTAAATCAATCAAATGTGTGTCTTAACTTTGATGTTGATGAACAATTACAGTAAAAGATGTTGAGTAAATTGCATTGTCAGTTTGGACATGCATCATCAGACAGATTGAAGAAATTACTAACTAGTGCAGGACAAAAAGACAAAGAATTATTCGAAAACTTAGATAAGATTGTGAAATCTTGTGAAGTTTGTTCCAAGTTTAAAAGACAATTGCCGAAACCAGCAGTCAGCTTACCTTTAGCTACTGATTTTAATGAGACCGTGGCTGTTGATCTTCATCAGCTTGATCAAAATGTTTGGTATCTCCATATAATAGATGAGTTCACAAGATTTAGTGCTGGTGCCATAATTAGAAGCAAGAAATCATCAATATCTGTGGAAAAATTTATGCAGCAAATATAAATATAAAAATACTATATAGTGATAATGGAGGAGAATTCAATAACTCTGAAGTTCATGATATGTTTTGTAATTTTAATATAGAAGTTCACACCACAGCTGGATATAGTCCCTGGAGCAATGGGTTATTAGAGAGACACAACTATGCCCTGACTGAAATTTTGACAAAAGTTAAAGCTGACAGCAAATGTGATTGGGAAACAGCACTTGCTTGGGCAGTAATGGCGAAAAATAGTTTGGCAAATATACATGGATTTAGCTCATATCAACTTGTGTATGGAAGAAATCCCAATTTACCATCTTCATTGATTAATAAACTTTGCGCTTTAGAAGGAAAGACTAGTAGCAGAACTGTTTATGAAAATTTATCAGCTTTAAATTCTGCAAGGGAAGCCTTTACAAAATCAGAATGCTCAGAAAGGTTAAGAAGAGCTCTCAGAAAGCAAACTCGAACGTATGACAATGTTAAATACAAAAATGGTGATGAAGTTTACTACAAGAGACCAGATAGTACTGAATGGAGAGGCCCTGGAACTGTAATTGGCCAAGATGGTGCAGTTGTATTTATTCGGCATGGTGGTTTGATATTGAGAGTCCATTATTATAGACTAAGACCAGTCATTGAAGACCCAAAATTCGAAAAGGATCCTGATGTAAATGTGACTCCTGACAGAAACATAGAAACTGTCCCTGATGAAGAAGATAATCCACCAATTGAGCAAAATGAAGATCATGAAATCATAGCAATTGATGACAAGGCTGTATTAATGAAAGTGAAACCTGGACAAAATATCACATTTAAAAATGATGAAAAAGACAAGATTTCTGCCAAAGTTATAAATAGAGCAGGAAAAGCATCTGGTAAATACTGTCATTGGTATAATATAGAAAATGAAGATGGAAATCGTCAATCAATTGATTTGAGTCAAGTAGGTGATCATGAAATAATAGACAACCAAACAGAAAATATCCTATTGATGAAAAATGTTTCATTCGAGGACAGCAAATCTGAAGAATTAGACAATTGGAAGAAAAATGGTGTATTTAAAGAAGAAGTTGACAAGGGTCAAAAGTGTATATCAACGAGATGCATTTGCACATTGAAGGATACAGCTGATGGTATAAAGCCAAAATAACGATTAGTAGCAAGAGGATCTGAAGAAGCTGACAATACCAAATCAAAAGATTCTCCAACCTGTGCTAAGGAATCATTGCGTATGATTCTTGCTATTCTGGCTCAAAGAAAATGGGACCCAAAGTCCATGGACATTAAAACTGCATTCCTACAAAGTGATACAATGGAACGGCAGATATATTTACGACCACCAATTGAAGCCAATTGTCCCGGAAAAGTTTGGTTGTTACAGAAATCAGTATATGGATTAAATGACGCTTCACTGTGCTGGTACAAAACTGTGAAATCATCTATGTTGGAATTTGGTGCTAAAATATCTAAGGTAGACCCTGCTGTATTTTATTGGCCCAACAAAGGAATATTAGCTTGTCATGTGGATGATTTTATTTGGGGTTGAGATAAGACTTTTGAAATGGATGTAATCAGTAAAATTCGATCACGTTTTCAAATTGGTAAAGAAGAAACAAGAGCTTTTTGCTACTTAGAAATAAATTTGATGTATGAAAATGAAGAGATTTATTTGAATCAAAGCAAGTATGCAGACAGTATTTCATTTTTGAACATTGATCAATCAAGAAGAAACCAGTCAAATTCTGTGGATAAGTCATCAGAGCAGGCCAGACATAATTTTTGATGTATGTAATTTGGCAAGTGCTCTGAAAAATGCTACAATGAAAGACTTGATTGAAACTAATAAAGAATTAAAGCAGACGATTTGACTTTGAGGTTTAAACAACTTGGTGATAACAATAACCTATCCTTGATTGTGTTTAGTGATTCTTTCCTAGCAAACTTACCAGATGGAGGAACACAAGGTGAACACATTATCCTATTGAAGGGAGAGAATAGTGAAATAGTACCTCTATGTTGGAATTCAAAAAGGATTCGTAGAGTAGTTCGTAGTACTCTGTCTGCCGAAGCTTTGGCGTTATCAGATGGCATTGATTCAGGAATATTCTTGTCAACCCTTTATTCAGAACTTACTTCTTGAGATGCCAATTCTTTACAGTTGCCAATATTATGTGTAACAGACAAAAATTCTCTGGTAGATGCTGTAAACTCTACAAAACAAGTCAATGACAAACGCTTGCGATTAGAAATATCCAGTATCAAAGAACTTTTACAAAGTGGACAAATTAGTAACATTATTTGGTCTGAGACAAAGGCCCAACTTGCTGACTGTTTAACAAAGAAGGGAGCCTCACCATATTATCTTTTGAAAACTTTACATGAAGGTGTTCTCCACATTTAGATTTCCGTTTAATTTTCACAAACTTAGTGTTAAAAGAATTTTTATTTTAAAATAGAGGGGAGATTGATAATTTACATGGACATGCTAAGTTGATGTAGTCTGGCTTTAGTTAACTGTTTAACTGAGTTACTTACCTTAGAGGAACTAGGGGAAACTGCATGACCTACTTTTTGTAAAGCATGGCTGACAGATAGTCAGTATCTTATTTATGTTAACAATATACTAATATAGTTATATGTAGACATTGTGTCTTTAATGAATCTGGAACCCACAAGTGTGAGCAAACTATTAGACATGATGTGACGAATGAATTTAAGAAACCATGGGAAAAAAGTTTCACCAATGGAGTAGTTATTCCAAAGGATGATGATAAACAAATGAAAGTTTTCAGAAGTTATCTGAATCTCGTTAAGAGAAAAGCACAGGACGCTGAAGGAATTATGTTTCCTTATGGTGATAAAGATGAATTGAGTTTGGATGAAAACTATGAATTTGATGATTTCGATTACCTAACTATTCAAGAGATTGAAGAGTGTTTAATTACTCAATTTTTTTGTTTTAAATGAAATTGAATAACAATTTCCTCGTTATCAAAATCTATAACCTATTTTTACCATCTTTGATTTCTTTAATCATAAAGGAATTAAGTGGTAAATATGTCGTTTGAAATGGTTTCTCTATAATTCTATATCCAATCAGTACGGTGAATGTTGGCAGACTGTAAATAATCTGACGTTTGTATTTATTGAAAAATCCACCGTTTATCAAATTGCAATGTATATTTATCACATCAATATCATATTTATATTAGCTTTGTGTGGTGCTAAAGTGGATTGCGAGTGTATTTGTTTATCAAATCCTAGTAACGCATTCAATGAATTTTTGTGGTCGTATATTGTCGTCGCCCCTGTCCGTCCGTTTTTGAGTTATTGCCCTTGACTTTGTTAAAACACATCGAATTTTGTTAAAAATAGTTCGTGAGCAGGATTGAAGCTACAGTTTTCAACCGATTCTGATGAAACTTGGTGTGATCATTGGAATTGATAAGATCTCAGACAAGTTGTAACTTGACGCATTTTCGATGAACGGTTTTTGAGTTATTGCCCTTGACTTTGTAAAAACATGTCAATATTTGTTAAAAATAGTTCGTGAGCAGGATTGAAGCTACAGTTTTCAACCGATTCTGATGAAACTTGGTGTCATCATTGGAATTGATAAGGTCTAAGTTCTAACTTGACGCATTTTCGATGAACGGTTTTTGAGTTATTGCCCTTTCTAATGGAATTGTAAACAGAGAAATACTTTAATCCCAATTCATATTCTTGATTGCGATTGAGTTCATACTCATAATCTAGAGATAATTTAATGTCTGATTTATTCGAGGTGATGACGGATAGTTGTTCTTTATTTGACATTTTTAATCACGCTTTTATAATCATTTTTATCTATAATACCTTTCTCTAGGAGTCTTTTTAATATACAATTTACTTCATTATATTGTCTGTGTGATCGATGTCCTTCCTTCATTGCCGCTAATATTATTTGTAATCTATTAAGTAGTTCCTCGTTGTTGTCGGATAAAAACGTTATTCCTTGTCCAGATACCATATCTTTGAATTCGTCTATCTCTTGTATGATTGGATTGTTGTCTTCAGCATAATCACCCACTTCATCAACTTCGTATTCATCATAATGTTCAATTGCTCTTATATATAGTTTAACTTCTTTCAATCTTATTGTTTCAGGTCCCGACTTTCTTATTGCATCTAGAAATTTTGAGTATGCTACTAAATCCTTATAATCGGCAATAACAGCATCCTCCCCATTCATTAAATCTAATAACCCTTTTGTTAATGTTAATATAAAGTCTTTTGTATCGATTTTTAATTGTGGTGAATTTGGACTAAATCTTATTCTAAAACCATTAAACAATAACCCCTCATCATCAACGATTGGTGAAATGCTCTTTGGTAATACTGGGTCAGGGTTTTAAAAAAGACGATTTATATCATCTAAGGTCCTAATTATAATACCACCATATTCAATCAATTTGGGGTGATGAGGTGTGGGTTCTATATGAGGTGTAGGTTCTAAAGCTAATTTCTTTTTAATATCCTCTTGAGATTTTAATATTGGTTAAAATAGAGTTTGTAGATTTTCTGTTAATCCAAGTTGTTGTAATTTATTATTTTCAACTTGGGCCTTTATTTTATTCTTAGCTTTGATATATTCTCTATTTCTTTTTAAAATATTATTCCAATCAAAAAAATAAAATTAACATATGCCGATCATAACTCTTTCACCCGCAGGCTTTCTAGTATTTACAAATACATATCCATGATCATCTGGGTTTCTCCATTAAGCTTTTCAAACCTTTTTAAATGTATCTCTGTCCATTCCGTGAATTATCGACTGAATGATTTGAGATAAATCTTTATCGTTTAATTCAAATAATAAAAAACAATTTGCATTTTTTCTAATGAACATAGAATCCATCCCGTAAAAAGATTGGGATTGGTATATGCAGTGACAGTTGTGATGTCTTCCTTTCATGAAGAATTCTTGTTGAACAGCTTGATTTCTTTGCGATACGCAGTCGTCAAACAATATTAAGTTCTTTCGATTACTATCAATATTAGACAAGTCTAGATCATTAACATTTTTCGTAAGAAAAACTTTTATATCCGTTGGATTGAAAGATGGATTCTTTGAAGTTTTCTATGATATCTTTTATTTCCACTTCTTCTTCGTTTTCTTCATAATATTGAAATATGTCTTGAACATCTTTCTTTGGTAAATATTCTAAAGCTTTGAGAAATTGATAATACCATTGCTCTGGTGTTGTTGTGTAGATATACAGTGAATCGAAATCTAAAAGGTTTGGTGTTGTCAACATGTTAAAAGTGAGATGAGTTTTCCCAGAACCGAAACTACCGCATATACACATGAGCATTGGGTTACTAGGAAATATTTCTGAATGTTTGAATTTCTTTCCAATTTCTTATTATTTTTTTTTATTCCAAAAATCACTCCTTCTCCTTTATACTTTGAAAGAAATAATCCTTCTCCAATGCATATGTTTTTCAAAAATATTCCATTACCCTTATGTTTGACTTTGACTTCTCCTGTGTCAATACTATCTACTAATCCTTGTGTAACAGTTTTCTTGGTTTCTTCCCCAAATCTTTTTCCAAATTCTTTTATTGTGCCTATCATATCTCCCACTCCTGAACCTCGTGCTTCCCTTTCCATTATTAAATTATGTCTGCGTTCTTCAGCATCAGCATCAGCATCAGCTGCTTTCTTTTCGTTGGCAGCTTTGACTGCGGAAGATATTCCACCAGTTGCTGTACCCATCGCTGCAATACCACCAAATATCAAAGGTAGTAGGAAAGGTAAAAATCCACCTTCCTTTGTGTTGGTGTCAATTCTTTCTAAGTCTGTATCGTTTCTGACTTTACAATATTTGTATTTATCAATAAGTTTTTAGTTATTCTGATTTTTTTTACCATTGAAAGTTATTAATGTTGGGGAAGCTGTTTCAATAGCTTCTATTATTTTCATAACTAAACTTTCTGGCTTCATTTTTAAGGGTGTATTTTTTACTCAATTCTTATTCTTCTATCTGCTATTTTAATTAAATGTTTTGCTTCTTCGAGTAGTAAACAATACCCGGTCACATCTCCTTGTGTTTTTTCAATATGAATATTTATGTTCACTCACTGATAGATCAAAACAGAAGATTAGATGATTAAGTGCAAAATCTACATATTCAAACTGAGGTGGATTTCCAAATAATTCACACATGTTTTTATAGTTTCTATACAATTCATTATAATCCTTTATGGTTGGATTAATTGTTAAAGGTTAGTTAGCATAATTATCGTTGTTTAATCTTACTTGAACTTTATGGATTAAAGGATCTTGAGTTTGGTTCATTGCCACTCTAAAGATATTATTGTTATTCGTTTGAGAATCTGGTAAATTCTTGAAAACCAAACATTAAATATCTTGCTGGTTTAATAGTGTTAGTAATTGGCCATGTGGTGGATTCTCCAGTTAAAGTCATGCTACCTACCGTATTACGATGAAGAAAAGCTATTTCAATATCTTTAGTTAATGAGTTGAATATTCTCGTTTCTACTTCAATTGATGGTGTTATTACAGGTATGAAAAGTTGGAGATGCGTTATTTTTAATCTTGCATCTGAAGCATTCTCTCCAAAGAATATCTTATCATCGTTGATTTCTCTTTGTAGATGAATTTTATATGGTAACCCTAAGGAAACTTCTCTGTATTCCAACAGATCGCATAAAGGATATAATTTCCAATTTACGTAATTACCCCACCTATTATTCTCAACAACATTATTATACTGAAGAACTCGTTTTTCAAATCCATGATTAGCTGCTAGTGCTACTGTTTCTATTGTGTTTCAAGCAACATCTCCCACTCTGAAATCGGCATCATTTGCAAGATTTCTTACCGGTTCTTTTAAAACACTTCCATCATCAACATCGGGTATCCAACCTGAGAAGTCTTAAGGATATAAAACTGTTTTCAACATTGTATCAAATTCCCCAGGGTGTTTGATAGTTTCTATTGGATTTGAACCAGCTTTCAAAACCATCTTGCTAAATAAAGATGGAAAGAAATTGTTTTCTAACGTTGTATTTGTTTGTGGTACACGATTTTCATTGGGAGTTCCATCTTTAATTTTGAAATCACATCTGAAATAAGCATCGGAAAGAAGTAGCCAATTCGATAATGAATTTATTTCGAAGGTAATTCTACCACCATCATTCAACTGGGATTTAGAACCAACAGTTGAATGGGGAATCCCCTTGCGAACATATTGAAAGGTCTACTAGCTAAACAAGAACAAGGGCAATAACTCATACTCAATATTATTCAGTATCGCCCTAAAGAGTTCAAAAGAAGTGTATGACTGAAGGTTTAATATTTCATACTGGTGATTGTTACTGTATTGCTAAATATTTTTATTCAAAATCACAACTGCCAGTGGGCGTATATTACTTTGCCTGGCAAGCTATCTTATCGTTTTACATCATTCATTGATGAGTTCACTTTGCAGATAGTTGTTTGAGTAACCACGACGTCATAATTTTTATTTGTCATTTACTTTCTTAATTGTGTTGGTTTTGGACTCCCTGAAGAAGTGTGTTTATAGACACAAAAAACGTTTGAATAAATGCCACATTTAACATAAGTTCAATATATCACGGGTTTAAACTCTGTTATCATTATTTTATTACATTGTACCCAAATCTGATCTTGTGGATATAAACCTACACACCAATTTTATAAAGATACTGGCAACTGTCAGAGATGATAACTAAACCTTTTTCGACCAAAAATATATAATATATTGAAGATCTTCATTATTCATTTGTAGTTCAAAAACCCTGAATATCTCATCAATTTAGGGTCAGTTATGCTGAGTTTTTCCACAAATCTTTTCAAATCACTAGTAATAACCCAGAAGCATTGAATTATCACACTCCTCTTGTGTCTGAAATTTTCAAAGATATATAATAACATATCATAAAATTCAATAAAAAGGTCTCATCTACATAGACAAATTTGAACTTTACTGAGATCTCATTAATTTATACCTGCATACCAAGTTCCATAAAGTTCGGGAAAAAAATGTAGCGCTCATCGTGTTTACAAGTCAAATTTGATGTATTTTACTAAGTCAAGGGCAATAGCTCAAAGTCCTTTCTTTCAAAATGAGCCTAATTCATACTTGATGAAGATCTTATCAATATATACATGATTACAAAGATTGGATATAAACTGTAGCGATTTTACTTAGTCAAGGGTAATAACTAAAAATCCGTTCATCAAAAAATCATCAAATTCTAAGTTGACCACCATCTTATCCATCCCAATGATCACACCAAGTTTCATTACAATCAAATGACAACTGTAGTCTTTATTGTGTCCACAAGAAATGTTGACAGACACACCGATGGACAGGGGAAACGACAATATATAAAAAAACATAAAAATCAGAAAAGAACTATGGCCTCTATAACTTTCACAATTCAATTTAACATAATTTCAGTGAGTTGAAACTCCATAATCCTTTATAAAACATTCATAATTCCAAACATAGTTCCCATTAGAATGTGGGTATACATTCAAAAGATAGCTTGCTGGCAATTTTCACGAACTGTTAGAAATTATAACTCATAATTCACTCAGATTTCATCTGATGAAGTAGATGATGATGACGAAAGCTATCAAAATACTTTAGACAATCTTAAAACGTGTCTTCTTACTACTTTTATTAAAGTCTCATAATCTTAAAGATATTGTTTAAATTAAGGCAATTCCTCAAAAACACTTTATCATGAAATTCAAACATGAACAAGGTTTCATAGTTTTACATATATATTTCAAAATTGATAAAAATTGGACGAATACTGTAGTCCTATTGATCTATACAGATCAAGTGCAAGGGGACATTTTCTGATCCCAATTGATTTGCTTCTTAGGCTAGTTTAAAAAACTCTGTGTATTCCAAATTACGACACTAATCAGTGGTCCCGACACTCAGAAAAATCTGTATAATGGATATCTACTCATCTTAATCACTTATCGCCAATTTATTGATAATCCGGATCAAATCAAATCACATGAAAACAAAAGATAGCTGAAATTCTGCTGATTAATCATTGCCAATGACCTCGTTTCAAGATCAAGGTTATTGCCTTTAGATCAAATGGTATTGGTACTCGTATAATTCATTACACCGAACATAAAACAGAAATATATGCAACTTGATCATTCTTTGTTTCACATTTTATCAAAATTCTCAAGCTAACAATTTTCGTCCTGCAAAGCATGCCTGTACTGATGTGTCTCTGGATATGAAACAGCAAATTATTGTAGATGATGAAAAAGTGCTGCATTCTTCACAGAAATATTTAGCTATGAAATTTGGTTTATGTTGAACAACAATATGCAGCATTTTAAAACGTAAAGAAGAATTTAAACCGACAATTCCAATAAAAGGCGTATGTACAGTAGCTCAAAATATGAACAATTATATAATAGTAACGTTTACAACTGATTTGTCTTTTATTATCGTCTTGTTATTAGAAAGGTACCGTCTGTAGAATGTGGGTCACTGAGCTATAAATAATAACATGTGGCACATGTTAAAAAATGTTGCAACTCTGAGTACTCCGACACTCTAGCTAATCCGACATTGTTTTGCGGTACTAGTGTATGTCGGATTACGCAGAGTATAATGTATTTTCAATTTCGAACTTGACTTATCAATATATACATGCCTACCTAGTTTTATTAAGATGGTTTAAGATAGCTTGCCAGACAAGATAAAATATGCCCAGCTGTTAGATAACAAAGTCTTTAGTGGCTTAATAATGAATTTTCAAATAATCAAAAGTCAAAGCAAAACCTCAAAAACAATTCATCAAAATGAAAAGCAATAGCTCTAAAACTGTTCTTTCAATTATTACCAATTTCAATCTTGATCGAGATCTCATCAATATATACATCCATACCAAGCTTTAATCAAGATTGGTTAAAGCTGAAGTCTCTAGCGTGTCTACGAGCTAAATTTGACGCTTTTACTAAGTCAAGGGCAATAACCCTTCATCTGATTATTACCAATTTCGAACTTGACCAAGGTTTCATCAATATATCATACCAATTTTCATCAAGATCAGATCAAAACTTTAGTCCCTATTGGCACAACAAGCCAAATTTGATGCATTTTTACCAAGTCAAGAGTTAATTAGGCAAGCAGTCAGCTGATCTATGACGTCATAGACGACACTCGATAGACTGGAAGCCTGCCGTCTATAGTTGAAGCCTTGCATACATCGATCTTTCACTTTCATTACTGCCATGGAATCCAATAATTTCTACCTAAATATCCAGCCATATCAGTTTGAGCCGCTAGTGGAAGACAAACGATCAGTACTAAAATATTCTGATAGCTCTGGAAGCTCTGACAATTCCGATTTCTCAGAAGACGAAACCGATTCTTTTTCTACAAACGCCCGAATCTGTACTACAGTAACTGGATAGAGTTTAAACAGTCGTCATCATAAACTATCAGGTTGAAAGCAATGATAATTAACATTGCAGTAGCGCATTGATATCCATTTCAAAAGAAAATGAAAAAGAAATAAGCATATTGGATATATCTACATATCATAGAAGGCCTATTATTATCATCACATAACGTCAGTGTTAATATGGCGGTGAGGGTCAAAAGGTCACCTAGTGAATACGTAGCCTCTACCATCCAGTCTCTATTTGCCTACGTACAGCTTCGACGTAGATGGGGTTAGTCTGGACGTCAGAGACTAGACTCAGTCTGTATTTCCGTAAAAATTGATTGAATGTGGCAATCGTGATGAAATACAGAGAGCCTTTGCTGTAAAGAGGTTAATGACATAGAACATAAAGCTCTGAAGGAGATGCAGCCATACATTTGTCAACATTCCGGGTTCAGGGCAAATTGTCTCAATAGAGATGTTCTAGATGTACCGGTATCGCTAATGGAGTTTGTTGAAGTTGACGGACCCATAGATGACAATGAGCCAATTTCCGAGTAAGTACTGGTCAATGCCACACAGTACATAATATGAAAATTAAGTTGTGTGAAAGTTTTGCTTATGATTCAATGGCGGCATCAGAACATATGTCTCGTATGATGTCATCAACCGAAGATTCCCAAGTAGTGGCGGAAAATATGCATAATTTGAGAAGCGCTAAATTAGCCTTTTTAAATGGAAAAAAGTGCTAAATAAAAATATTTTTTTCCAGTAAAATCGATACAAATGCAATAATGACAGTTTATCTGAAATATTTCATACGTAAAAGAGCAACTTGGCATAAATCCTTTAAAATAAAATGGACAGGAACTAATAGTCTGTAAAAAACATATATATATATCTAATTACATATATTGATAATAAAGTTCTATTGAGCTATGGGTTTAAGTCTACTATGGACTTATATTAAGATTCTCATTCCGTTTAAAAGCAATAACTAAATCTTTTTGAAATATATCAGGGATATTTTGTTGGAGTTCCTTGTATAGTTCATTGATAATTGGTATGGCTTGGCAAGCTGTGCCACTGAAAAGCACAACAAATGGAATAATTTGATAATCCACTTGGAAATTAAGACCATTTGACTGTATTGTTTTCAATTTGTTTATCCAGAAATTTTCTCAAAAAAGTCTGTAGGTTCTTGTTGGGATATCGTTTGGTTCATGAATTTTTCCAATAGGTGTAATTTGTTATTGGAAATTTGGCATTATTTGAGGTGTTGGTGAAAAAACGAGTTGAGTTATAAAATGCGCAGGTCAAACGAGCAAGAAGTTTTGAAATAGGGTGTGGTATTTGCAGAGAGGTCAATCGTGGTAGGGACATCTAACTTGGCTTTCATTTCACAAATCGTTAAATTCTTTATCTTCGGAAGGAACCATTTAGTACAACCATGTTTCTGCAATTCTTTAAAAACAAGAGAGCATTCCTCCTTGAAGCCTTCTTCTTGTGTGCAAATTTGGTAAAACTGTAATATCTGGCACTTAATAACTCCCGAAAATGTATGTTTAGGGTGAAAAGAGGATTTAAACAAAATTTGGTGAGTGTCAGTGTCCTTAAATACTGTCGTATCAAGGAAATCAGTACGGTTTTCGCTAATTTTGGCTGTTAGTTTAACTGCACGAGTTCATCCTTGTGTGATTACATACACTCATACCAAGTTACGTCAAAATCCATCAAGAATTGTGCTTTCTAGAGTGTTTACGTGCTACAAATTGAATGCATTTTCAAGAACAAGGGCGATAACTCATATCAATTATTTTTCGATTTTTCTGATTTTCTATAGGGTTCATAAGTGACAACAAAACAGTCACACCAAGTTTCGTCAAAATCTGCCCCTGAAGAAGGCGCCAACGACTAGGGTCCCTGAAGTCGACTGAGCCTTTGGTAATATTGTTTGACAGCTACAGAACTCAGATTACAGCATACCTAAAACTTGTTGTTTGTTCCTGGATGTTCAAATAGAGGAGGGTATTTGTCACAAATCGACAAGAAGCTTCGAAAGAAGTGGATTGTGGCTGTGAAAAGTCAGAAATCACTGAAGGGAGATGCGTTGTGGGTCCAGCGTAGTTTGCAGAGATTTCGTCGAATTTACATCCTCTGGCAAGTGTTTTCATTTGCTTTATTAGATAGGTTTTCTTTCTAATGTTTGAAATATTTGTCATTGTGATATGTCTATATTCTTCGGAAGCCACTTGACACTAGTGTGGCTACGGTCAGACTCAGTGACTGAGTCTTATTTACATCATAGAACTGTATAGGGATATTTTGACAAAACAAAACTTTAGGAGAAGCCCTGAATCTGAATTTTTTGGAAATTATTTTTATTCTGTTCTGCTTGTATCTTTTCTTTTTTTCATGTTATTCCTGTTAGATTTCTGGGTAAAGGCTGTAATAAAAGATAGCTTGCGATGCAAGGTAACATACGCCCCCTTCCCCGCAACCAAATACAACAAACAATTTAATCACACAGCTCTAATCAAGGGCAAAAAACAACATTTGACGCGTGTTTATAAAGTCAAGGGCAATAACTCAAAAAATTTTCATCAAAAATATCTCTTGTTAGAACTTGTCCGAGATCTTATCAATTCACCAAGTTTCATCAGTATCGGTTGAAAACTGTAGCTTCAATCCTGGTCACGAACTATTTTTAACAAATTTTGACGCGTTTTAACAAAGTCAAGGGCAATAACTCAAAAACCATTCATCGAAAATGTGTCAAGTTACAACTTATGAATTCCAATGATCACAACAAGTTTTATCAGAATCGGATGTGATTGTTATGTCCAAACAATGGCAAAAAAACTCAAACGTATTGTTTTTCTCATGCTCTCTTTCTGTGAGTGGTATTGGGGTCACATGTTATGGACAGATGTACTTCTGGACATCCATTCCCATAATGCTTTTTAACATGTATTTGTTTACAACTGGTTGCGTTTGTGTATATAGAAAATTATTGCTGCTGAGAACACAAATGACATGTGCTTGTTCATCTTTACACGTAACCTTCTACTTATACCTATTTTTTTTTTTTTTATGGTTACAGCCACACTTCCTTTGAGACATCAACGCAAAGGACCCAAGATATTTTTAACAGCTTTTACGATATTGAGATCATAGAGCTCTTAGTTGAAGTGGAATTAAAGAAAACACAGATGTCTGAATGAAAATTGGAATGGTACAAAATTTTGTATCTATACAAAGTTGAACTTTAAGAGTCCATAAAGTCATTACCAGCTATTTTACAAACTTGTTTGTATATATTATAGAAATTGGTAGGACCTGATTTGTCAGGCTAAATGATAATAAACTATTTATTTACACAATATTCTGATGTACAATTTGTTAGAATCTATACACAAGTACATGTGTATGAAATGGACAGACTATGTTTCTGTAATACAATCCAATCAAATTGCTGCATTGCTTGATACAGTATATGGCTATTGCAGTCGATGTAAAATTACACAGTTTCTCATAGCTTGACATTGTGAACATGATTTTTCATTTGAGTAAAGCTATTTCTAACCAATTTAAAATGAATAAGCTTATTTATAATAATCGTTGAAATAAAAAAGTGATTTTTATAAAACAAAGTTAATTTCTGTACCATTCTTTGAATAAAAGTGTCATTCTTGTTGATAGTTTTGAATTTCATATCTTTAATCTTTAAGAGTGTTAACAATGAAAATGAACTTGAAAAGAATAGTCATGATTTTCTGAAAGATAATACTTTTGATTAGTCTCGCAAAATTTCAGATATGGTACAGTGTCTGTATTAATGCATGTCTTTAGATGAATATGGACACTTCACCTCAATCACTTTATTCATCAATCCGTCCGGTGAGGAAGCTAGAAACGGACTACCTTTACAAACAAATGTTCGGCATTGGTCGACTGTATCCTGTGTTTGTTTAACAAACTCGTCAATAGCAATTTTTTCAAACTTCTTTCCATGGATAAGAGGAGCAGCTTGTATGTCTTGGAAAGGTTCAGTCATGGACTTAGAAAGGATTGTTCTATCAGTTGCCTTACATATAGTGGGTACATTTCCAGCAGCAAACTCACACAGGGATTCAGCTATAATGCCATCTATGTCAATGTGATACGAAACTTCCTTCTTCATTTCTGCATGACATTCGGATTTGACAAAATATAAACTGTCAGTAGATGCTATTCTCAGAAAACGATTGGTATAAAGTTTCTTTGAGTCGTCATCAAGTTTCTTTTAAAATTGTTCATGGTAACACAGGATAGATTCTAACTTCAGTAATGAAAATTATCAGTATTAATGTCTTTGTAGAGATCATAATTAGGAATTTCCATTGAATATTCATTTTTAAATTTTTCATGTTCAATATCTTTATTTCTGTCAAAAAATTCTAGCCTAAAAAGTAAAACATTATGATAATTTTTTTCAAGAACTTTCTAACCCTAGAAACTGAGAAAGGATTAAATTATAATAGGAAAACGGTAGGGCCAAGAACTACCATCTTACATGAATTGAACTGCCCATTATCATCACAGGGTTATCCACAATTCCAAAGGATTAAATTGAAATTGGAAAATGGTAAGGCCTAGATCAATCAAACTACCGCCATCGAATAGTCTACTACTAATCTAGTCACTAGATTGTCTTTCAATTCACACTCCGCAACTGCGAAGGAGTGGAACTGTCGAAGACTCTTGTCATTTTTAACTACTTTCGCTTTTTGACAGCGGACTTATTGATCTAAACTTATCTAGTTAACGGATGCTAAAAATAATCAAAGAACCTTACGAACCTTTCGATTAAATCCCTCTTTCTTCCAGACACTTTCCCACTCTAGATTTCAATTCCTTTCTCAGTTTAGTTAAGTCCCATAGACCATAATCACGCTTCGTCCATTTACTTGATCAGCCATTGTTGCGGGACCGCAATAGCCGTCCGACATCTACATCAAGAAACAACAACTCGCGAGTTTGGTTCCCCACTGAACCTTCTAGAGCATTTATGAGCTAAAAAATTGAACGCGTTTTCAAGAACAAGGGCAATAATTATAACTTTATTTGGCAACCGATTTAGACAGAAGTCTAATTTTCAATAGGTCCCACTAAACTACAAATCATATACAAGATTACAGAAAGAATAAAACCACAGAAAATAACATAAAACATATATACATTTACAATGTAACATGAATGAGGAAAGAAATATGAAAATGCAACCACTATGTTTTCCCACGAAACTGCGAATTGTATACTAAGTATATAATAAAAATACAGAAAATTTCATAAAACATATATACATTTACAATGCATCACGGATGTGGTGAAAAATATAAACACTGTGTTTCTTATTTGATATATATAATGGTTTAAGTTTTTTAAGTAAAATGAAATGACGAGAAAAACAAAAGGACTGGTTATAAATACTATGAAATCAATAATATTAATCAGTATTGTCAGTAAGAACAAACTTCTTCAGTTCTTGTTTAAATGTATATAAAGAAGGATTATGTTTTACAGTTTGTGGTAATGAATTCCAAAGTAAAGAAGCTGTATATTGAAATGTTCTCATCATAGCAGTTTTATTACATTTCGGTATGTCTAAAGTTCGGAGTGTTTCTGATCTCAGTGTCATACTGGTTTCTGTTAATTTTGGTTACTCATACTAATTATTTTTCGATTATTCTGATTTTCAATAGGGTTCATCCTTGGGTGATTACTTACACTCATCCTAAGTTTCATCAAATCCGTCAAGATTTGTGCCTTCAGGAGTTTTTACGAGGTAAAAGTTCAATGCGTTTTCAAGATCAAGGGCAATAACTCATACTAAATATTTTTCAATTTTTCTGATTTTCGATAGGGTTTATCATTGGGTGATTACAAACACTCACACCAAGTTTCGTTAAAATCCGTCAAGAATTGTGCCTTCTAGAGGGTTTACAAGCTAAAACTGAACGCGTTTTCAAGAACAAGGGAAATAACTCATACTAATTATTTTTTGATCTTTCTGATTTTCAATAAGGTTCATCCTTGGGTGATTAAAAACAACCATACCAAGCTTCGTCGAAATCAGTCAAGAATTGTGCCTTGTAGAGTGTTTACGAGCATGTGGATGGACAGACCGACTGACTAACGGACTAACGGACCGATGGACATTGGTGACGACAATTTACGCCCCCCATTTCATGTGGGCCTATAAAAAGTAAATGACTGTTACAATAATGATATCATAACTTTTTATGACCTCTTGGTTACTCAAACAACTGATCATGCACTGATGACTTCACTTTGCAGATAGTTGTTATTTATTTCACTTTCCTTCTAATCTGCAAATTCAAGGTGGAGGCTAAATGCTACACTTTCCATCGGACATTTTTGTCAATGTTTTCCAATTATGAGTTTGGCTAATTCTTACTCTAATTAATTTTTTGAAACGAACATCCCTTCAAAATTTGCTCTTTAGTCTAAACAAAACGAGGAAAGCTTTGATTGATCGACCTCCAAGGTAGAGACTAAACAATACTGGCGATCAACCAGTGCCAATGTTTTCTATTTCTAAATATTTTCATCCACAATAAATAAAGGTAGCTTTCCAGGAAAGGTAATATACGCCCACTGGCAGCTTTGATTTTGAATAAAAATATTTAGCAGTATAGTAACAATTACTAGTATAAAATATTCAACATTCAGTTATACACCTTTTTGAACTCTTTAGGGCGATACTGAATAATATTGAGTATGAGTTATTGCCATTGATCTTGAAAATGTGTTCAATTTTTAGTTCTAGCAGGCAAATATTCAACCTTCAGCACAGTACTTGAATAATAAAACCAAGTTTTGTCAAAATCCAGCAAGAATCATGCCTTTTAGTGTTTAAGAGATAAAATTTGAAAGCGTTTTTAAGAAAAAGGTCAATATCTCCTATGAAACATTTTTCGATTTTTTTGATTTTCAATAGGGTTCATCATTGGATGATAATTAACACTCACACCAAGTTTCGTCAAAATTCGTCAACAATAATGCCTTCTAGATTGTTTCAGAGCTAAAAATTGAACGCATTTTCAAGAACAAGGGCAATAACTCATACTAAATATTTTTCGATTCTTCTGATTTTCAATAGGGTTCATCTTTGGGTGACGAACATTCACACCAAGTTTCACATCAAGTTTCTACAAAATCCATCAAGAATTGTCCCTTACAGAGTTTTTACAGGCTAAAATAGTGTTTTCAATAACAAGGGCAATAACTCATAATAAATTATTTTGATTCTTCTGATTTTCAATAGGGTTCATCCTTGGGTGATTACGAGTACTCACACCAAGTTTTGTCAAAACAAAAAATTGTGTCTTGTAGAGTGTTTAGGAGTAATTGTGGGCGGACCGACGGATCATCCATTTTCCTTCTAAAATATGTGATAAATTCGCATTACGGTACTTTTAACACCTGCAGTTTCATAACCAAGATTACCTGAAAATACTCAATCCCTGAGCTACAAGTTCAAACAAGTGAAAACCCTACAATTCATTACTTACACTGTCAACATTTGAAACACACACACAATTTAATAATGTCAGATATTGTTTTATGCCATTCATGTTAACGAGAATGTGCCACTCTTAGGTAACTGTTCATGCCTCACTTACGGTTTGAATTTTTTCTTCTTAGGTGATTCAAATTATTTTGTCTGCATTTGTGAATCACATTGGTAACAGGATTGCCAACAGTGATTTTGAGAAACAGGAATTCTCAAGTGATTCCAAAATTTTGAATGATGCAGTTTTATTTTGAATTTTTCTATTGCCTTTGATATATCTAATTTACAAAGGGCATAAAAAAAAGAAAACTTGAGGTAAATCGGTCCACAAATAAGTTCTACAGGCTCCAAATCACTTGTTTGAATATTATGCAATATGTCATTTACAGCTTCAAAAAAAAAAAAAAAAAATGGCATATTATCAAGCTTATTTCGTGCATTTCAGGAAATAAAAAATAATTTAAATGTGTGACCTTAGTTGTATATGAGCTTTCTATATGTAAGCTCCCAAAAAAAGACATCCATATCCTACATTCCATCAATTTCTGATGCTTATTTCAGATGCGATTTCAAAATAAAAGATGGAACTCCCAATGAAAATCGAGGTCCACAAACTAATACAACGTTAGAAAACAATTTCTTTCCATCTTTATTTACCAAGTTGGTTTTGGAAGCTGGTTCAAATCCTATAGAAACCATTAAACACCCTGGGGAATTTGATACAATGTTGAAAACAGTTTTATATCCTAAAGACTTCGATTCAGTTTCAGGCTGGATACCCGATGTTGGTGATGGAAGTGTTTTAAAAGAACCGGTAAGAAATGATGCAGATGAAGCTGGAATGAGAGTTATTGCTCGAAACACAATAGAAAGAGTAGGACAAGCAGCTAATCATGGATTCGAAAAACGAGTACTTCAGTACAACAATACCGTTGATAATGATAGTTGGGATAATTACATAAATTGGAAGTTATATCCATTATTCGGTCTGTTGGAACACAGAAAGGTTTCCATAGGATTACCATATATAATTCATCTACAAAGAGAAATCAATGATGATAAGATATTCTTTGGAGAGAATGCTTCAAATGCGAGTTTAGAAATAACGAATCTCCAACTTTATATACTATTAAACCAGTAAGATATTTAATGGTTGGTTTCAAGAACTTACCAGACTCTCAGACGAATAACAATAATGTCTTCAGAGTGACACTGAACCAAAATCAAGAAAGTAAGATTAAACAATGATTATTATCCTAACCAATCTTTAACAATTAATCCAACCACAAAGGATTATAATGAATTGTATAGAAACATGTGTGAATTATTTGGAAATCCACCTCAGTTTGAATATGTAGATTTTACACTTAATCATCTAATCTTCTGTTTTGATCTATCAGCTCACCAAGAAGATATTTTCAAAATAGGAGTAAATATGAATATTCATACACAAGGAGATGTAACTGGGTACTGTTTATTATTGGAAGAAGCAAAACATTTAATTAAAATAGCAGATAGAAGAATAATAAGTAAAAAAAAATACCCTTAAAAAATGAAGCCAGAATCTTTAGTTATGAAAATAATAGAAGCTATTGAAACAGCTTCACCAACTGTAATAACTTACAATGGTAAAAAGATCGGCATATCTACAAAAACTTATTGATAAATACAAATATTGTAAAGTCAGAGACAATATAGACTTAGAAAGAATGACGCGAAAGCAAAGGAAGGTGTATTTTTACCTTTCCTACCTTTGATATTAGCTGGTATTAACGCTGCTGCCACTGCTGGTGGTGCTGTTGCTGGTATAGCAAAGGCCGTTAATAAAAAGAAAACAGATGACGATAAAAACGCTGAAGAACGTAGATATAATTTAGTAATGGAAAAGTCAGCAAAAGGTTCAGGAGGTAGAGTTAAAGAATTTGGAAAATGATTTGGTAAAGAAACCAAGAAAACTGTTAAAGAGAAATTAAGTAATCTAATAGATAAGATTGACACTGGAGAAATGAAAGTCAAAAATATAGAATAATAAATAAATAAAAAATGAGAAAGAAATTTAAACATTCAGAAATATTCCTACTAACCCAATGCTCATGTGTATTTGTGGAAGTTCCGGTTCTGGGAAAACTCATCTCACTTTTAACATGTTGACAACACCAAACCGTTTAGATTTCGATTCTCTGTATATCTACACAACAACACCAGAGCAATCATATTATCAATTCCTCAAAGCTTTAGAACGAAGATGAAGTGGAAATAAAAGATATCATAGAGAACTTCATTAAAGCAAAGAATCCATCTTTCAACGGATATAAAAGTTTTTCTTAAATGTTAATGATTGTTCAACAAGAATTCTTCACGAAAGGAAGACATCATATATACCAATCCCAATCTTTTTACAGGATGGATGCTATGTTTATTAGAAAAAATGCAAATTGTTTTTTATTATTTGAATTAAACGCTCAAATCATTCACTCGATAAATCACGGATAGAGATACATTTAAAAAGGTTTGTAAAGCAAAATGGAGAAAACCATTTTTTTTAAAATGAGTAACGATTGGAATAATATTTTAAAAAGAAATAGACAATACATCAAAGCTAAGAATAAAATAAAGACCCAAGTTGAAAATAATGAATTACAACAACTTGGATTAACAGAAAATCTACAAACTCTATTTTAACCAGTATTAAAATCTCAAGAGGATATTAAAAAGAAATTAGCTTTAGAACCTACACCTCATATAGAACCCACATCTCATCACCTAAAACCATTGAATATGGTGGTATTATAATTAGGACCTTAGATGATATAAATCGTCTTTTTTAAAACCCTGACACAGATTTACCAAAGAGCATTTCACCAATCCTTGATGATGAGGGGTTATTGTTTAATGGTTTTAGAATAAGATTTAGTCCAAATTCACCACAATTCAAAATCAATACAAAAGACTTTATATTAACATTAACAAAAGGGTTAATAGATTTAATGAATGGGGAGGATGCTGTTATTGCCGATTATAAGGATTTAGTAGCATACTCAAAATTTCTAGATGCCATTAGAAAGTCGGGACCCAAAACAAGAAGATCGAAAGAAGTTAAACTATATATAAGAGCAATTGAACATGATGATGAATACGAAGTTGACGAAGTGGGTGATTATGCTGAATACAACAATTCAATCATACAAGAAATAGACGAATTCGAAGATATGGTATCTGGACAAGGAATAACGTTTTTATCCGACGAGGAACTACTTAATAGATTACAAATAATATTAGCGGCAATGAAGGAAGGACATCGATCACACAGACAATATAATGAAGTAAATTGTATATTAAAAAGACACCTAGAGAAAGGTATCATAGATAAAAATAATTATAAAAGCGTGATTAAAAATGTCAAATAAAGAACAACTATCCGTTATCACCTCAAATAAATCAGACATTAAATTGTCTCTAGATTATGAGTACGAACTCGATCGCAATCAAGAATATGAATTGGGATTAAAGTATTTCTCTGTTTACCCCGATCCAAAATGTCCAATTAGGACATTAGATGATATAAATCGTCTTTTTTCAAACCCTGACCCAGGAAGCTATGCATACGTAGCCATTAACGAATACCTATCTAATATGGAAGAAGTGTAAATGGTAAAAACAATATTGAATTCGAAGGTAAGAGTTTCCATCCAAACTCACTTCATCTTTATCACCATAAGGATACATGATTCCTTCGTTGTCCGGTGCCATTCTCTTAACGAGATTCAAATAACTTCTAAAAACTTACTTTTGTTTATCATCATCCTTTGGAATAACTACTCCATTGGTGAAACTCGTTTTCCATCTTTTCTTAAATTCATTCGTTACATCATGTCCACTAGCTAATCGAATATAATCTTCTACAATTATCTTATCATTAGAGTGACCCTTAAATGTTTTCTTTTCTTTTAGAATTTCATCAGAAGTTAGAATGATATTATATTTGACTTTTGGCGCTAAATATAAATCATATATAATTCCACCATCACCGTAATCATTATTTCCTTTACAATAATCATTTTCAGATACCAACCCAGCTTCATTTAATTTATCCCAATTGCTAGATTAAATGTATAAACTATCAGTATATGTATAGTATATTTCCGGTTTATAAAATCCATCAATTACATGAATAAAAGCATTCATTATTTTTTTACTGTGAGATAATACGAATGACCCCAAATGACTAGGTGTTAGTCGTGTAGATTTAGGAGTCTCATTTACTTTAAGATAGCTTTTGACATGTGAATGGAAATTGAAATGAAATGAATGGAGTTTTACGTCCTACTCTTCTGCACCTTGTGGGCTAATGAAGACGGGGACATGTGAATGGAAGTTGGCTTTTAAAGTTGCTTCACTCCATAGATGTCTCGATATAGTTATATCCTTCTGAATAGATTTACCATACAAGGAATTACCCAATAATTTTATGCAATTGCTACCTACAATATTACCTTCTCGTTTATATTTATTTTTTAGATCTCTCAAAATTAAAATATAGTCTCTATATGGTGGAGTTTTAAAATTTTCTTCGTATACTATACCATCTAATATTCTAATAATTCGTTCACCAGCTGTAACTATTTCTTGAATATCAACCGATGTTAAAACTTCCGAACAGAAACCATTTCTGAACCTGATTTTAGAACCACCTTTTTTTTTACCTTCTTTGTTCGTAAAAGTAATTTTATCTTTAGCTGGTATGGATTGGAAGAACATGGTTTAAGGATATTCAAACCAGACTTTTAAAATAGCTGTTCTAAGTCTGGATTTCTGCTCATTAAAGAGCTTAACAGATTCTTTATTTTCTTCTGGTAGAAACGGTCTACCACTTTCCGCTTTAGGATATTCGCTGACATGGTGGAAGCATACAAACCGTTGGCGTCGAACGCCATTAGTTTAGTACATTTTATTTTTTTTTGTTTTGAATTAACTTCCATTTTATCTTCATTACTTTTACTATATTCTTTAAATAAATCAATTATATTACTACTCTCGAGTACTGTATATTCATTAATACATTATAAATATCATCCATTTTGTTCGTTTCAAATGATTTTCTGTTAGCAGAAACTCTTCCTCCTTTAATGGATTGTCTGATAAAATGTCTTATAAAAGGGTTGGTATGTGAGTAAACTTTTTCTATATTTTCTTTTTCAGTGTGTTTTGGAGCCATTCTAGTAGTTTCATACCATTCTTCTTCAACCATTTCTTTATTATAATGATATAAATAATACCAAAACTTTAAAGATAAAGATGGAGCCGTTAGATTATTGGAAATATTCTGGAATACAACTTCTTTCATAACTTTGTTATATTTTAGCTCCAAGACATAACGTATCTCTTTTAGCATAAGGTTCCCATTCATGAATTTCCCTATGCCAAACTAGATTTTTTATGTTGATAGGAACATATGAAATTAATATTTTGCAGATAATTAGAGTTGCCAATTATTTGTTTTTGTCTTTTCCATTTTTTCTGTAAATATTCATCAGTGAATGAATTAGTTAAAGGTAGAGATAGAATACCTCTAGCTGTTACTAGTGGACCTTGTGTTAGTTTTTTGCATTTTTAAGAACAATCCAGTTATGAACACTATCAGTGGGATTTAAATTTGGAAAGTTATGTTTTATTCTGTCTAACATTTTTCTTAGTTTTTCTAAATTAATTAACATGCAAAAATAAGGAATTGCTTTATTCGTTTCTTTTTCGCTATAAGTTGTGCAATCATCATGAATTGTTGGAAAAACATTTAGTTTTAGCTTGTGTTACTGCATTATCATCTCTACAAGTTCTCCATACATTTTCATCATAATTAGCTTCTATTTCTTTAATGCCTAAGGTTTTGTTATTACTTCTTATGAGACAGAAATGTGATTTATATAAGTAAAATACCCAATCTAATTCCTCAGATACTTTCTTGGGTTGAAAATGTCTATTTTGGGGCATATAAATTTGAAAATAAGTATTAAGTTTCGTATTGAATTCACAGATTCTAGCAGTTGTCATAACTCCTTTTCTATTTGATTTTGAAAAACTGTTGATGAAATCTTGAAATTCTTTTGTGTAGTCTTTTCATACCAGCATATTCATTTATCTTTTTGAGTAGGGTGGAACCACGACGCTTTTTTGATCTTTTTATTTCTTTGAAATTGTCTTTACATAAAATGATATTTCCTGAGAAATACCAATCAGAAGCATCTGATTTTTCATCCAATTTTGCTAAGAAATTGCAATAAGTAGTGGCATTAAAGCCTACAAATTGCATGTTTTGTTTGTATTCTCCATCAAGAATTATCTCTCCTTCTAATTCAATTTGTCCCTTAAATGTAACAAATTTATCAGAGATAGCCTTAATAACATTGGAAAATAGCACATTTGATATGAATGTTTCATCATATAAAATTTCAATTCTATTCATATCTTTTAAATATCTATTTTTTATCTAGGAATTTTTCACTTTTATTGATGATATTTCTACATCAAATTTATCTAAAATTTCATTGAATTTTTCTAATTCTTCAATGGTTATGTTCTTATCTTCCCTTGATCTTTCGAAAAATATAAATAATTTATTAAGATATGTATTTAAAATTTATCATTTCTTTTTATATTGAGATTTCTGTTTTGATGTAAAACCTAAAGTAATCAATCCACAAGATGATGTTTGAACAGCAGTGAATGTGGCTAATACGGTTGGGACAGTTATTGGAAGCATTAATCCACCAGTTACAGCTGTTGCCACTGTTACTCCTACTGTTAGAACTGTACTTAATGTCTTGAAAACAGAATCAATTCTACTCCATGTTTTTCTGCATTTGTTGAAGTGTTTTAGTTTTTCTTTTGGTTCATTCTGTTTTTCTATCAAGTATAGTTCATAAAATGTTCTTGTGAACAGCGTCATCATTATTTTGCAGAGATTTTAAATTAGTTATTTTGAATTTGTTCGTATCTAAATCACCTTGAAGAGTGTCTCCAATTTGATCCACAAAGTAAGGTTTTGCTTTATTTATCCATGCTGTAGTGTAGTTTTTTTAGTATCTAAAGATATTGAACCTAAACCAAACTTGTTTGCCATTTTTATTAAGTTAAATTTATTATAATTTCTTCAAACTGTTTTCCTATATATCAATAACTGATAAAAAATCCAAAGTGAAAGCTGGCCACAAAACTTTTGTCCTGGTATTTGAATTTGAAATGTAGAACATTTGATTGGTTTATTAGTTAATTTCACTATCTCTTTAGTGGGTTCTAATTCAAAAGAATCAAAAAAATATAAGTTATTTGAAGAGTCTTTGTATAAAGCAGAATGATGAACTCCTTTTTGATCCGAAGTATGTATATTTGTTATAGCATAAAATTTACCTTAGTTATCCTTGAGATCATTTATTTCATCTCACATGCAATAATAAAAGGGTGATATATTTAACTCATTTGCCCATCTCATAAGTTGAAAGTTTGTGGTTGTTTCAGTTCCATATTCATCGAGAAAACTATTCATTTTTAAAAGTCAGTTTTTTGAAGTTCATTTTGATAAAACATTCCTATGATTTGTTCTTTGTCTTGATCGATTAATTCAAATGTCAGAGGTGATGTGCTGTTTACTTTATCAACGATGAATATTTCGTTTGTCGAGTATCCAACATAACCTTTTTCGAATTTATTTTTATATTTGAAAATATGAACACGATCTCTAACTTTAAATTTGGGTTTAATATTTAAATTATTTATTTTATTTTCAAAATTATTAAGGGTAGAAGAAAACTTTATAATATCTGGATTTTGACTAGCTTGCATTGGAGAAAAACCGAAGGAAGAATGAATTTTATTATTATATTCCAATACTACAGTGGGTAAAATCTTTAACCATTTTTGAGACTTTAGTTGTGTGAATTTTTTAAACAGTTTTGATTTAAGCGTCTTGTTAAATCTTTCTATTACTACAGCTTTTCCCTCGTTATGAGTACTGTAAATTTCAAACCAAAGTGATTTCATATTTTTATTATAAAATTCGCTTCCTTTATCTACCCATAATTTCTGTGGTTTTCTATGTTTTGTTTTTCAAAGGAATAACCCATGCATATCTTGTATACAAATCTATAACTGTTAAACAATATTTAAATCCTCTTTCAACAGGCATATTAATTAAATCAGCTGACCATATTTCATCTTTTTCAAAAACTTTAACTTTTAAAAAGTTTTTTAGTTTTTCTAAATTCTTTATGAATTTCATCCGCCAATCCCATACCCAATTTCATCTCTACTTTTAACAGTTTTATAATCAGCGCTCTTTGCATTTTCTCTTTGAATGTTGGATTTGGAATATTTTCAAGTTCGATTATCATTTGTTTGTCTGCTTCGCGTCTTTATTTCTGTATAAAATATCATGTTTAAGTGTAGCAGCATCAACTCTGTTGACTGGTTCTTCAACTGGTTTGGGTTTATCATTTTCGTCTAATCGTAGATCTACACTAGTACCTGGACCAGTGTAGTTGTGACCCCGAAGATGTTTTTCTCCAAGATACTTTGCCCATGGAAATCCAGGAAGAGAGCCCAATGACTTTTGTATATCTGAACCAAAATAAGTTTTTTTGACTATCATTTTTATCCTATAACTTTAAAACCTTTTCCGTTCTTTTCTTCTAATCTCCTGTTTCGTAGTTCTCTTATTCTTTTTCACTGCGTCACTTATACTCTTTCCCGCTTCCGCGACAGATCCTATTGCTTTAGCACCTGAGGAAATGAGGGATTGGTTGTTTGAAACAAAGCTAGCTACTTTTGGACTTATTTTTGTACCTAGAGAAAATATTGATGAAAAGATACCGTCACCTGAATAATCTTCGAATTTGTGTTGTTCATGTTTTAAAATTAAACTCATCCTATTTTTAAATGAATTAATGGGGAATTGATGGAATGTAGGGTATGGATTGAAATGGAATGAGGAAAGTGCGAACATATAAAAAGCCCATATACTACTGACCTTTACATTTCAAATTTTTTATCTATTACTAACATTTACAAAATGGCAGATTTCAGTATTACCAAATGTCACCAAATTTCCATATAATCTCAAGCTGTAATCTGAATTCCAAGTGTCTTCTGCTAGAATATATTCCAGGGAATAAAGTCATGTGACAAACTAGCGGATTCCATGACAGCAGAAAAATTCTATGGAGCACAAAGCGGGCCATATTCTTATGTTGTTTCAATGAATTTTTGCAATAAATTACTATTATGTTTTACTTAACTTATTTTGACAGTTACTATTTTTTTTTTCAAATCATTGTTCTTTGAAGGAATTGTCATTAGTTATAATGAATTGATATTAAAGATAAATACTAAGAAATGATAATTTTACCACTGTGTATCCATACAACGTGTTTTTCCTGACTTATTTATAGATCAAATATCTTACATGATGCATTTTGCATCCATTGTTGAGTTGGTTACTCATGAAATATAAGTCAAATTGAGGGTTTCATAAAGAAAATCAAAACAAACCATTTTTAATTATTTTACAGCATATCTGAAGAAACATTTTTGACATGAAAAGAAATTTCTGTTTTTTTAATTATGACGAAGTTAGGTGTTGAATCCATATATGCACGAAAATAGGTTAAACAACTCTATTTATTGATATTTTACAAAATATGTCAAGTTGATAGTGATTGAAAAGGACTACTAGGACAGAGAGTTCTGTATAGTGTAATTTTATGAACTCAATGATTAGTAAAAAAAATCATGTCACTCAGCCTATTCTGCTGAGTCATAATGTTATATTACTGAAAAAAAAAGAAAACTTGATTCAATTTATAATATTTGAAATGTATTATCCTTGTGAACAGTGTTCACAAAAAAGGAATCATAAAAACAGTTTCACACTTACTCTCAGTTTCTCCTTGCTTAATTTTAGCATACATCCCACAATCATCTTCTTTACCTTGTAGTGGCCGTCTGTAATGAACAATTTTATCTAGATCAATGGAAAACCAGGAAACTCCCTTTCCAACCTCATGTATATAAATATTAAAAAAACAGGACAATAATATAGTTTTAATTGGTTACCCAATAAATATTAAAATCTACCGGTATATACACCTCCAGGGGTGAAATCAAAATTGTTGGAATGAGGAGGAATTGGGGGTGAATTATACACAAAGGTGGGAATTTTGTGAAAAGGATAAAAATTGAGCAATAGTTCCAACATACAAAAGCACGAGTTCATTAGGCTTGAAAAACAAGTCATCAAAAACTATCAAATGTTGTATCTTATATTCATGGGTGCAAAAGAGGCTGTCTGGACGTGGCACCTAAATACCCGCTAAGACCCTTGGTCAAGAATACCAAGCACAAGGTTCTCGCTTAAGGGCTGTTACATCTCAGTTTGCATTTCGTGAAAATCCGTGGCCTGTGTTCAAATATAGGTTTGAAACAATAACTTTCAAGCATGTTTCAGTTTTATTTTTAGTTATTTGATGTTATACATTTCTAAGGTAAGGGTGAAAGGTTGATAAGCACTGCTACAAAACATAATTATTGATTTTTCTCTATTTTCGAAAGGTGATTATCCTTAGTCATCTGTTTAATCATAGATAAAATTTCATTTGGTATTTTCGAAGACTTACTAGTGGCTAAACTATGACTAAATAATGGATAATCATCCATTTGTATTTTTGAAAGGTAACTTATTCTGCTGCCTAAATGAACGGCTTAGTAATCTCATTCTCAAATGATGATTAACGGGTAACAAAGGTCCCTTACTAAGGTGAAGACTAACTATCCACAAATCATATTCTCGAACTGATATAATCATTGATTTGTGACAAATTTCAGATTTTCGAAATATTTTGTAGTGACAGGGGGGCAGCCGCGTCGTTAGGGTAGGGTACCTGGGGGCTTAGCTCCAGCATATGAGAAATTTTTGAATTTCCAAAACCTCTTCCTTTTTTTGAACTATGAAGCGGAAACAACCGAAATTCTAAGACAAAGTGGCTCAAAATATGAGGTAATTGTATGCAAAGTTCCATTTTGAACAAATGTATACTTTGCGAGTTATGCCCCTTGGCCAAAAATGTCAATAATGAGTAATTTAACCCCGATGTGCCACGCCCACTTCAATTTTTTTTGTATAGGTTAATTGATCTTCAAAATGTTACGTTGTTAAGTCCCTTTTTGAACAAACACATCCTATGCGAGTTATGCCCCTGTCTGTAAATGTAAACAATTAGTAATTCAACCCGGATGTGCCACGCCCGACAAGTATTTTTGTCATAGGTGAATACATATTCAAAGTGTCTAGTTGTATTCGAAATATCAAGGTTCTAAATCAAATAGATCATAAAATATACATACACTAAGCTCAAAAAGTCGCAAATATTGTAAAAAAAAACTCAAATTTGATAAAATCACGAATTTCAATTTTGCTTTAAAAAAACGATTGTTATATATCTATGTAAAGTACACGGGAAGCACATTAGGAAACCGAAAAAATTTACTCTCTAGGTTAATTAGGTCACGTGCTAGAGCAGTCCAAAGTTGCGAATTTGGCTTTTTACGGATAGCTTTAAAACCGGAAGTACATGTCAGAGGTCAAAGGTCAAAGTATCAAATGATAGCCAAGGTCAATAACCTTTGACCCTATGAAGGTCAAGGTCATCAATGGTCAAGGTCTCATGGTGTGGGTGTTTCAAGTTGGAAAAAAATTTAACCGGAAGTTGCAAAAAAGCAAAAGCGAAATTCAAAATTCGGCTCCCAATGTTTTTAGCGCAATCGATTGCGGAATACATTCACATCGAATTTGAGCATATCAACATTTACCCTGAGGCCCCATTTTGAGTTTTACAAAAGAGTGTTTTTTCAATATGGCGGCCGAAGTATCACTTTTAGTCTGGATTTTATTTTAAAATCGGCCATAGAAATTTATTTGCTAAAGATCAGCTAAATTTTGTTGACATATATTACACCGGAAGTTATTCAACCGGAAGTAGATTTGAAGTTCAGTCGCTTTCCTGTTTAAAATCGGAAATGACGTACAAAATTTGACTGTATCATATTATTAACATTAGTGAAGTCTCTTTGCATTTAAAATTTCAGATCAATCGATGCAAAAGCAAAAAAGGTGCAAAAAAATTGAAAAATTTGATCGAAAAAAGTGAGCGATGAATTTTCGAATTTCGTAAAGTTCTATCAGGTCAGAAATTACAGGTAGATTGTAAAAATGAAAACCCGAAGAAAATCGATGCAGAAATACGCCTTCTAGAGCCGATTTTCGACTTTTTGCACATGTTGAACTGTGGCACTTCCGGTTTTGCACAAGTGTTCCAATATATAACTGTCTAAGCTCAGGAAGGTGTGTAAGTTTCGAGAAAAAAAAAAAAAAAAAAAAAAAAAAGAATGGACATTTCGATAACAAACTGGGACTTTGCTGAAGTGCTACAGGTCGACATGGGCAAAAAGTAGAAAATTGGCTCTAGAGGGCGCATTTTTGCATCGATTTTCTTCGGGTTTTCCTTTTTACAATCTACCTGTAATTTCTGACCTGATAGCACTTGAAAAATTACGATATTCGAAAATTCGTAGCTCACTTTTTTCAATCAAATTTTTCGATTTTTTTGCACAACTAGAGCCACATATGGCACAGAGTGAGACTTAGCTAATGTGGCAAATTACAAGAGACTCTGAACCTTGTAGGTTAATTAGGTCATTTCCTAGAACAGTCTAAAGTTACAACATTTTATAGGTCAATTATGTCACTTGCCAGAACAGTCTTAAGTTACAACATTTTTTGTCTTTGGAGTGTTGTGAAATGAAGTAAAGGTCAGATATTGAAAATGAAAGTATCAGCAGATAGCCAAGTTCAAGACCATGAGATATAAGTCATCAAATTTTCAAAATACATTCCATTATAATACTGGTCGACAAAGGTCAAGGTTAAAATTTGAAAATATAGAAATTTTAAATCCTGTTCTTTTTTTGAACTATAAAGCTGAAAGAACTGTGCTTTTCAGAAATACTGGTTAATTGAATGAGGTAATGGTGTGCAAAGTTCCTTTTGCTTCCTGAGATCTCGAGATCTTAATATGGTTTTATGCTTTTTCATTTCACACAAAAATCATTCAAATTCATAATGTCTGAATAAAAATAGATGCATTTCAGGAAAATCAATATGGCAGCCGAAGTATCACTTCCGGTCCGAATTGTTTTTAACTTAATTTTGTTAACATTTAAAAATTACACAGGAATTATTTCACAAGAATCGATTTCCTGTTTAAACCAGAAGTAAAGCTAAAATTGACTTTACCATTTTGTTTACTTTAGTGATGTGTCTTTGAACCTAAAATTTCCAAAAAATCAGAAAAAAGTAAAAAGTTGAAAAATAACCGAAAAAAATGCATATTTCGGCTGAAATAAGTATGCAACAAATATATTTGAATTTTGAAAATTTTAAAGTGCTATTAAATTAAATATTATATGTAGATTCTGAAAATGAAAATCTACCGAACAATGCAATTTCTAGAGCCGATTTGTGGGACTTTGCTAATGTGGCAAATTGCAAGAGCCCCTGAAAAAAATCAACCTTCTAGGTTAATTAGGTCATGTGCTAAAACAGTCTAAAGTTACTACATTTTCTGTGTTTGGAAGGTCATGAAATCCGACAACATAAATGAAAGTATCAGCGAATAGCCAAAGTCAATGACCTGTGATCTTGTAAAGGGGAAGGTCAACAAAGGTAAAGGTCACGTGATATAACTCATCAAATTTTCAAAATGCATACGGCTACAAAAGGATGAGGTAATTGTGTGCAAAGTCGCTTTTTGAACAAATGTATCATATTATGCAAGTTATGCCCTTGCCCAAAAATGTAAACAATTAGTAATTTAACCCCGAAGCCCACCTTAACTTTTTTGTCAAAGGTTAATCCATTTTAGCTGTCTTTCAATTTTCAAGCTTCTACATCAAATACCAAGCTCAGAGAGGCAAAAATATTTTTTAAAAATACTCAAATTTTAAAAAATTACTAATTTTGCTTCAAAAAACAATTGTTATATATCACTGGAAAGAGCATGAAGAGCAAATTAAGAATCCGAAAAAAATAAACACTCTAGGTTAATTAGGTCACAGGCAAGAACAGTCCACTTTCCTGATACATTTTCAGTATATCAAGAACGGTCACCTTTCTGTGTCAAATCATACCAAAAATCTAATTTGTGCAAGATATTGTTGATTTAAACAAACAAACATTATTTAATAAAATTCTGACATAAACTGTCACCTCTCACCGACAAATTTTGATGTGTTTTTACTAAGACAAGGGTAATAACTCAAATTCCGTTGATCGAAAAATTGTCAATTCAATCTTAGATAAGATCTCTTCATTATTACCGGTAATCAGGGTTCATACCGCACTTTGCCTCAAAAATTCAAAGACTTTTCAAGGACTCTGGGCTTTGAAAATCAAGGACTTTTCAAGGATATTACTTCTGAACTGTGAAATCAATAAAGATAGTTAATATTTGTCAATGGGGTTAATGATAAAAATATACACAATTTGACTCTACTCAAAATTCAAGGACTTTTCAAGAAAAAATGTGTTTTTTATGGTGTTTTCAAAGACTTTTTTGAAATCAAGGTTTTTCAAGGCAACGGACGGAATTCAAGGCTTTTTCAAGGCTGTGCGAAACCTGTTAATGATCATACCAAATTTCATTTAAATCGGATGAAAATTGTGGTCTCTATTGTGTTCACAAACAAAATTTGACGCATGTTTCATAAATCAAGGGCAATAACTCAAAAACGTTCATCGAAAGATCGTCAATTTCTAACTTGTGTTAGATCTCATCATTATAAATACTCACACAAATTGGATGAAAGCTGTAATCTTTATTGTGTTCACAACCAGATTTTGACGCGTTTTTCATAAGTCAAGGGCAATAACTCAACAAATGCTCATCCAATTATTACCAATTTCGAACTTGACTGAGATCTCATCAATATATACATGCATACCAAGTTTCATCAAGATCAGATAAAAACTGTAGTCTCTATTGTGCCTACAAGTCAAATTTGGCGCGTTTTTACTAAATCAAGAGCAATTACTCCGAAACCAGTCATCCAATTATTTCCAATTTCGAACTTGACTGAGATCTCATCAATATATACATGCATACCAAAATCCATCGAGATCAGATAAAAACTGTTGTCTCTATTGTGCCTACAAGCCAAATTTGACGCGTTTTAAATCAGTCAATGGCAATAACTCTGAAACCGCTCATCCAATTAATACCCATTTCTAACTTGACCGAGATCTCATAAATATATACATGAATACCAGGTTTCATCAAGATTGGATAAAAACTGTAGCTTCTATCGCACCTACAATAAATATGAACGGACAAACCGACCGACAAACAGGGGCAATATATCCATATATCCAATATCCATGTGGGCGTTTCTGCGAATTTTTTAAATATCAGCTATTGTACATAGATTCCAAAAATGAAAACTCGAAGAAAATCATTCAAACTTTTAGATTCGATTTTCTACTTTTTGCACATGTTGAACTGTGCTATTTCCGGTTTTGCAAAAAATGTTCCAATTTATATTTATTCTAATGTCTATATTATCAGTGAACGATTCCTAACAATCGTATGGGAGCCGATTTTGCTTTTTAGTTATTTCCCGGTTTGATTTTTTTCAATATTAGCCAAAACTTTCAAGGCTGATATCTCGTGACCTTGACCTTTGGTTAACTTGTGACCAGGACAAAAGTTGTTGCCTTAGCCGAGATCTATCCAAATATGTCATCATTTTTGTTGTGCAACGTTAACTTCCGGTTCTATAGGAAATTAAAAAATCCCGATTTTTAACTTCCAAGAGTTCTGTCATGTGACCTAATTAACATACCTCAAAATTTCTTATTATTCTTAAGATAGCTTGCGTTGCAAGGTAACATACGCCCACTGGCAGCTGTCAGAAATAATAAAACAGTCTTTAGTGACTAAAGCACGAATTTTCTCATATTGAAGAAATTATTCCACAAAATTTGTTAAAATCAATATCAATGACCCAAATACAACAAACAATTAAATCACACAGCTCTAATCAAGGGCAAAAAAACAACTTTTGACGCGTGTTTACAAAGTCAAGGGCAATAACTCAAATGTTCATCAAAAATATCTCTTGTTAGAACTTGTCTGAGATCTTATCAATTCCAATGATCACACCAAGTTTCATCAGAATCGGTTGAAAACTGTAGCTTCTATTGTGCTCACAAACAAATTTTGACGCGTTTTTCGCAAGTTAATGGCATTAACTCAAAAACATTTCATCAAAAATGCATCAAGTTCGAACTTGTCTGAGATCTTATCAATTCCAATAATCACAACAAGTTTCATCAGAATCGGTTGAAAACTGTAGCGTCAATCCTGCTCACAAACTATTTTTAACAAATTTCGACGCATTTTAACAAAGTCAAGGGCAATAACTCAAAAACCATTCATCGAAAATGCGTCAAGTTAGAACTTGTCTGAGATCTTATCAATTCTAATGATTATACCAAGTTTCATCAGAATCGGTTGAAAACTGTAGCTTCAATCCTGCTCACAAACTATTTTTAACAAATTTCGACGCATTTTAACAAAGTCAAGGGCAATAACTCAAAAATTGTTCATCGAAAATGCGTCAAGTTAGAACTTGTCCGAGATCTTATAGATTCCAATGATCACAACAAGTTTCATCAGAATCGGATGAAAACTGTAGCTTCAATCCTGGTCACGAACAATTTTTAACAAATTTCAAGGCGTTCTAAGTCAAGGGCAATATCTCAAAAAGCGTTTATCCAAAATATGGCAAATTCGAACTTGACCGAGATCTTATCAATCTAAAGCATCACACCAAGTTTTATCAAAATCAGATAAAAACTGCAGTCTCTATAGTGCTCACAAGAAATGTTGATGGACGGACTGACGGACAGGGGCGACGACAATATACGACCACATATTCATGTGGGCGTATAAAGACAGGCAGCAATAACCAATCACAGAAGACTTTTTAATGGGATCACCAATACCACTAATAGTACAGCGATCTCATCAATATATACATGCATACCAAGTTTCATCAAGATCAGATAAAAACTGTAGTCTTTATTGTGCCTACAAGTCAAATTTGGCGCGTTTTTACTAAATCAAGAGCAATTACACCGAAACCAGTCATCCAATTATTTCCAATTTCGAACTTGACTGAGATTTCATCAATATATACATGCATACCAAGTTTCATCGAGATCAGATAAAAACTGTAGTCTCTATTGTGCCTACAAGCCAAATTTGACGCATTTTTCTAAGTCAAGGGCAATAACTCTGAAACCAGTCATCCAATTATTACCAATTTCAAACTTGACTGAAATCTCATCAATATATACATGCATACCAGGTTTCATCAATATCAGATAAAAACTGTTGTCTCTATTGTGCCTACAAGCCAAATTTGATGCGTTTTAAATCACATATTCATATGGGCGTATAAAAATGCACGATCCCTCCTTGTCGTTGATATATCACACTTGATATTTTGATCAAAATTGCGCTTTTCAAAAATTTTCTACTGACTTCTATAGAAACTGCGTGTAAATTCAGTGTCTATAATCTACCGACAGTAACCGCTGCCTTTTATCTACGAATATGTCATGATCTAATGATTGTAACCACTTGAAATTTTGAACATGTCAGACATATACTTCCGCTTTTACAAACTTCCCAAAACAGCAATTTTCAATACTGTCAATACATCTCCTTTATTTGACCAATATTGACCTCTTGACCAGATCAAAAGTTATTGTGCTTGATCAGAATATTTTCATTTTTGTTGTGTGATTTGTACTTCGGACAGCTATTTAAAGATTCAACTTTTTCTACCGAATGTTAACACCTTTTAGTACCAAATAGTATCAAATTCATACGTCTTTTCACTACCGAACGTTGAACTGTTTGTCGATTTTTTACTATTGAATGTTTACATGCTTTTTTCTTTTCGGTAAGACATCACATTGCAACGTTTCACCGGTGTATCAATTGGATGCTCACTGCCTAAGAACCATTCCCACAGCTCTATTTTTGTTTTTGATTGTTTTTACATTATATTTTTTACAGTTATATTTATTAGAAATATAAAGATTTTACAGCACATTTTCTTGTGTTATCATTTGGCAGATGTGTTACTGTTTTAACCAAATATATTGTTTCCTTTTTGGCAGATCTGTTTCCTTTTTGACTATTAAAATTTGTTATCATTTTGACTTGTTACAATTTTAACTAATATTCAGTCAACTTACTCTGGTTGTACAATGGCAACTCTTTTACTTGAAGCTCTGTTTAACCCAGTCTTTCTTGGTGGTTTAAGCTGATAACCATTACTCTCACACCAACCAACTGGATATAAATTATGAGAATAAACATCTTCTACATGACTGGCTACCATTTTCATACTGTTATCAAGGTGAACCCACATTAAGTGACCAACAATCTTGGTAATAGTAGCAGCACAAATCTGATTAGCATTTTCTCTACTCACAGCTTCTAATTTCATCCCCTTTTCAAATTCATGATCTTCTTCATCCTGTAGATTATTAAGAATAAAAATAAAGATAGCTTGCCAGGCAAGGTAACATACGCCAACTACCAGCTGTCAGAAATGATAACAAAATCTTTAGTAGCTTAATAATGAATTTTCAAGTAATTTTAACTTTAAAATAAGTCAAGGCAAAAACCTGAAACAGTTCATAAAATTATCATCAAATTCAAACATGAACAATGTCTCATCGCTGTACACACAATTGCAATAATATATACATGCATATCTAGTTTCATCAAGATTGGATAAAAATTGTAGTCTCTATCGTGCCTACAATCAAAATTTGATTTGTTTTTATTAAGTCAAGGAAAATAACTATGAAACAAATCATCCGATTGTTACCAATTACGAACTTGACTGAGATCTCATCAATATATACATGCATACCAAGTTTCATCAAGATCAGATAAAACTGTAGCCTCTATCGGGTCTAAAAGATGTGTAAATGGAAATACCGACGGACAGACGAACAGACGGACCAACAGGGGCAACGACAATATAGGTCCACATTTCCATGTGGGCGTATATAAAAATGAACATGAACCTAATGTTTGATAGTGTCAACTTTAGGGGTCAGGTGTAGACATTTCATTATTCTGATACATATTCAGCAACATGTGCATGCTTGTATCAAAAAGATCTTTGGATTTGACAAGTATTGACAGAGTTTCAACCCTTGATGCACTGAAAATATGTTAAGAGAGGCTCATGACTGCGATAAAAGTATTGGCTAATGTCCAAATGGGATGTCATTTTGTGTGTTGGTTTATAAGCACAAGATTTTGGACAAATAAGAACAGGGGAATGGTTTCAAACACATTGACATCCCTTGAAAAAAAGAAAATATATTTGGAAGAGGAGGTGTCTTGCATGGCAACCACTTGCTAAATTTTATAAGGTTCATTCTGTATTAATTATGAACAATTTCAGCAAATTTCATTTATATGTTGTTTCTATAATGTTGAGAAATTGATGGTGTTTTGTAGATCAAGGATTATAACTCTTACCAAAAATCATTACTCTTGCTTCATTGTCTGAATAGATTATGATGCGTTTTTACCATGTAAAGGGCTATCAAAATTGGTTCAAAACCCTAGCTTCTAATGTGTATCAAAAAATCAAACTTGATTGCAGCGTCAAGGGCAGTAACTCAAAAACCCTTCATTGAAAATTCACCTTAGATTTCATTAATCAATATGATGTAAGGGGCAAATAAAGTAATTTGGGTCATATAAGTGAACTAATATTATAAGTATACTTATATATAAGTTCATCTCATGGTAGGAATCCAATATGGCTTCATGAAATAATGATTGTTCACTAAAATAGAAAGACTCTTGATCCATTTATTTTGTAATGATAGCTTGCCAGGCAAGGTAATATATGCCCACTGGCAACTGTCAGAAATGATGATACAGTCTTTAGTGACTAAAATACGAATTTTCTCATTTTAAAGATATAATGCATTTGTAGTTTTAAATCATTGATATTTATATTTACTGTTAGTTATTTATGCCAAGTTTTTCCACAATATATTTTAAAATCAATATCAATAATCCAAATACATCAAATTGTTAAATCACACAGCTCAAGGGCATTATCTCCAAAAAAGTGAAAATTGTCAAAATTCAAACTTGAACAAAATCTCATCAATATCAATTAAAAGGACATTCATTTCCTTTATCAACATAAATCACCAGACCAAATTTCATGATGAAAACTGTAGTTTGTACTCATGAACAAATTTCAATTGAAATCAAATAAAAACTCTAGTCTCTATTTGTGTTCACAAATCAAACAAATTTTTACTTAGTCAAGGGCAATAACTCAAAAATTCAATAAAAGAACTTTGTGCTCTTGATACATGTTGGAAAAAATGTTACGCACATTATAATGCAGTTATATAAAAACAAAATTCCATTACATACCTGTTCATTTATGAGTGTAAAACAAAATTCTGGGGCAGACACAGCCTCATTATCATTCAAATATTCTGACCAATTAAACTCTTGTTTATCATATCCTGTTAAAACATTTCATATAAATGCATGTTAACACCATAAGGTAGTATGCAAGCCATTACAACATAAATGCATAATGGTAGTTGTGGGAAATGATAACAATAGTGCTGCAACAAATACTTATTAACTCCCTTTAATAACAAATGACACAAATCTTTGTGTAAAATCATTTTTGATTTCAATTATTCTACTGCCAATGGTTTAGTACATTATTTAGGCTATAGGCCATACTAAAATTATTTTCTGTTTGTCAAGAATTCCGAATCTGATTTTTGTTCTCGAAATTTTATTTTTAGAATTAAAAAGTAAAAAACGGTATGTATCTGAAGTACTCCCATTTAAAAAGATAGCTTACTAGGCAAGGAAATATACGCCCACTGGCAGCTTTGATTTTGAATAAAAATATCTGGCAGTAAAGTAACAATCACCAGTATGAAATATTCAACCTTCAGTCACACACTTCTTTTGAACTCTTTAGCGCAATACTGAATAATATTGAGTATGAGTTATTGCCCTTGTTTTTGAAAACGTGTTCAATTTTTAGCTCATGAAAACTCTAGAAGGCAAATATTCAATCTGTGTGGTACTGAATTCAATCTTCAGTGCAGTACTGAATAATAAAACCCTGTTTTGGGGGCAAGATTCTGGCAAGAATCACATCTTTTAGTGATAAAGAGCTAAAATTTGAAAGCGTTTTCAAGAACGAGGTCAATAACTCTGATTTTTTGATTTTCCATAGGGTTGATCCATGGGTGATAATAAACAATTTCACTCGCTTACGTCAAAATTCGTCAAGAATTGTGCCTTCTACAGTGTTTACGAGCTAAAAATTGAATGCGTTTTCAAGAACAAGGGCAATAACTCATATTAAGTATTTTTCGATTCTTCTGATTTTCAATAGGATTGATCCTTGGGTGATTACGAACACTCATACCAAGTTTCATCAAAATCCGTCACTATTGTGCCTTCTAGAGTGTTTACGAGCTAAAAATTCAATGTGTTTTCAAGAACAAGGGCAAATAACTCATACTAAATATTTTCAATTTTCTGATTTTCAATAGACTTTATCTTTGGGTGATAACAAACACTCAAGCCAAGTTTTTACAAAATCCGTCAAGAATTGAGCCTTCTAGAGTGTTTACGAACTAAAAATTGAACAAGTTTTCATGTGGGCGTATAAGAAAAAAAAAAAATTTATTTTGAAATAAAGATAGCTTGCGAGGCAAGGTAACATACGCCCACAGTCTTTAGTGACTAAAGTACAAATTTTCTCATATTGAAGAAATTTTATTAGTTTGATTTCAATTACATATATATATATATGCCAGTTATTTATGCTGAGTAATTCCACAAAATTTTTCAAAATCAATATCAATAACCCAAATACAACAAGCAATTAAATCACACAGCTCTAGTCAAGGGCAAAAAACAACTTTTGACACGTGTTTACAAAGTCAAGGGCAATAACTCAAAAAAAGTTCATCAAAAATATCTCAAGTTAGAACTTGTCCGAGATCTATCAATTCCTAACTCAAAAACCGTTCATCGTAAATGCGTCAAGTTAGAACTCGTCCGAGATCTTATCATTTCCAATGATCACACCAAGTTTTATCAGAATCGGTTGAAAACTGTAGCTTCAATCCTGCTCAAGAACTATTTTTAACAAATTACGACGTGTTTTAACAAGGACAATAACTCAAAAATTTTTCACCGAAAATGCGTCAAGTTATTTGTCCGAGATCTTATCAATTCCAATGATCACACCAAGTTTCATCAGAATCGGATGAAAACTGTAGCTTCAAGCCTGCTCACGAACAATTTTTTACAAATTTCAAGGCCTTCTAAGTCAAGGGCAATATCTCAAAAACCGTTCATCCAAAATATGTCAAATTCGAACTTGACCGAGATCTTATCAATCTAAAGCATCACACCAAGTTTTATCAAAATCAGATGAAAACTGTAGTCTCTATAGTGCTCACAAGAAATGTTGACGGACAGGGGCGACGGACCTACGGACAGAGGCGACGACAATATACGACCAAATATTCATGTGGGCGTATAAAAAACCGAAAATGCGTCAAGTTAGAACTTGTCTGAGATCTTATCAATTCCAATGATCACACCAAGTTTCATCAGAATCGGTTGAAAACTGTAGCGTCAATCCTGCTCCACGAACTATTTTAAACAAATTTCGACGTGTTTTAACAAAATCAAGGGCAATAACTCAAAAACAGTTCATCGAAAATGCGTCAAGTTAGAACTTGTCCGGGATCTTATGAATTCCAATGATCACACCAATTTTCATCAGAATCGGATGAAAACTGTAGCTTCAATCCTGCTCACGAACAATTTTTAACAAATTTCAAGGCGTTCTAAGTCAAGGGCAATATCTGAAAAACCGTTAATCGAAAATATGTCAAATTCGAACTTGTCCGGGATCTTATCAATCTAAGGCATCACACCAAGTTTTATCAAAATCAGATAAAAATTGTAGTCTCTATAGTGCTCACAAGAAATGTTGACGGACCGACGGACAGGGGCAATGACACAATAAGATCACATATTCATGTGGGCGTATAAAAATTATATTGTCCGTTTGTCCATATATGTATTTCAGCACGAAAAAACAATTTAATTTAGGGAGAGAAAAAAAGGTATTATAAGTGACAAAATTTCAAATTCAAATTTCATTATAAACAAAAAATCTAAATCTAATTCACCTGGAATTGTTCTAATTAACCCTCCTATTTCATATGTTTTGATAACTGCAAAAATCTTCCTTAATGTAATAGTGGATAGTGGAACACAGCCATATACGCCCTTCACGGCATGCGGATGGTAAAAACAAAACATCCATTTTAAGTTTCATCAAAATCGGTTGAAAACTAAGAGAGTAATAGCATATTCAAGATTTTGGGGCAAGGGCAATAACTCTGCTTCTAACGGTTGAAAATAGCTCAAATTCAAACTTGATCTTCGTTTTATGAACATGTATACACATACCGAATTTCATTTGATTCCATCAAAAACTCTAGTTTTTAGAGCGTTTACAAGCAAATGTGGGCGTATAATTAACATTTCTGTGAAAATTTATTAAAAAATTTCTGAAAAGTGTAAAGATACCTTGCTAGGCAAGGTAATATACGCCCACTGGAAGCTTTGATTTTAAACAAAAATATTTGGCTACAGTAACTATTACCAGTATGAAGTATTCAACATTTAGTCATCCACTTCTTTTGAGCCTTTTGTGGCGATACTGTATGATATTACAAGGTTTTGTCAAAATCTGTCAAGAATTGTGCCGACTAATGGACAAGACATACATGGGTGACGAACTTGACTGAGATCTCATCAATATATGCTTGCATACCAAGTTTCATCAAGATCAGATAAAAACTGTAGTCTCTATCGTGCCTACATGCCAAATTTGAGGGGTTTTTATTAAGTCAAGGGCAACAACTCTGAAACTGTTCATCCGATTATTACCAATTTCGAACATGAATGAGATCTCATCAATATATAGATGCATACTAAATATCATCAAGATCGGATAAAAACTGTAGGCTCTATCATGCCTACAAGCCAAATTTGACGCGTTTTTACTAAGTCAAGGGCAATAACTCTGAATCAGTTCATCCGATTATTACCAATTTCGAACTTCAATGAGATCTCATCTATACATACAAGAAAAACCAAGTTTTATGAAGATCAGATAAAATCTGTAGCCTCTATTGCACTTACAAGAAATGTGAATAGACTGACAGACAGGGGCGACGGCAATATATGACCATGTGGGCGTATAAAAAACATTTGCTAAAAATTGTTTTATTATGAAAAACTGAAATCTTGTTAAATTATACAGCTGTTTTCCCTAATATTTGCAAAAAAATAGTTTTTGTACGTAGTTAAACTTGATATTTGGGGAGAAACATACAAGGTTTCATCAAAGCATTCAAAATGATGTCTAGAGTAGTGCTCACATAAATGGTGGTTTTTACCATTCGACAGCATCATTTGATTTGCATTCGAATATTCAACGATTATTTTAAATTGAAAAATAATAAAAGATATCTATTTACATTAGCTAATCAGTTTCTTACTTTCATTATTTTTACTTTTGGTTTTGATATGCAGGTTGAGATGGTAACAACTGCTCGGGTATATATTGCGTTAGTGTGTAGCCGGTAAACCGGCCGCTAGGGTTGAAAGGGTTAATACATGCGTTCCATACTCTAAGACCGGCCATAATAAAACTCAAGATCAAGCTCTTGCATGCAAATTTGAAGTTGATTTTTTTATGAAAGTTGCAGTTTGAGGTGATGGAAAGTTGCCTTCGCTTGGTCTTTGGTTTATTTAGAGAAAAGAATTTTAGAAAACCCTGATTCTCGTATCTGCCAACATTTCACTTTGATTTCCCAATCGTAAATATTCGACTATTTTTGTGAACTCTTGTCTTGAGGCGAACTCAAAAAGTGAAGTAAGTGAAACATCAAATTAATTCATGACTAGTATACTAATCACAAATTATTGTAAAAGATAGCTTGCGATGCAAGGTAACATATGCCCACTGGCAGCTGTCAGAAATGATAAAACAGTCTTTAGTGACTAAAGTACGAATTTCCTATATTGAAGAAATTTTATTGGTTTGAATTCAATTACATAATATATATATATGCCAGTTATTTATGCTGAGTAATTCCACAAAATTTTTAAAGATAGCTTGCGATGTAAGGTAACATAAGCCCACTAGCAGCTGTCAGAAATAATAAAACAGTCTTTAGTGACTAAAGTACGAATTTTCTCATATTGAAGAAATTATTTATGCTGAATAATTCCACACAATTTTTTAAAATAAATATCAATAACCAAAATACAACAAACAATTAAATCACACAGCTCTAATCAAGGGCAAAAAACAACTTTTGACACGTGTTTACAAAGTCAAGGGCAATAACTAAAAAAATGTTCATCAAAAATATCTCTTGTTAGAATTTGTCCGATA